TTTTTATTCAGTTTCTTCTCTAAGAAACCACCACCGGTGGTACATGAGCCTTTACAGCTATATATATCAAAATACAAAAAGATGTCAACATGACGAGAGACAGAGTCAACGGCTGTTTCTATTTAAGTGTCTCAAACAACCAATAGGAGGTGACAAAATGGATCGAGGGGCCAGTTTCGGTGGCTTGATTTGTACAGCGACGGCGTGGATCGGTGCTCACAATATCAGTCACATGATTCTCTGGTCACTTATTTAAAATCCGTCCAAAAGATCAAATATTATTGAGTGCCGTGTTAAACATCAAGGGTATGCATAGTGTATTCCCTATGACTGACTTACATTCAGCAATTGTATGCATGAACTGAGGAACAGAGGAAACTATTCCTCTCAGTTGATTTGACCATATGTTTAAGTTTCTTAAAGGTAGGGATATTATATATAAATATGTAATATTTGTACTGGGGCGTAATCGAGTCTGGTCCAGACAATCCAGTGATTGACATCATGAGTATCGATCTAAGAAATTGGGTTACGATGACATGCATCAACCATGTCAGCGAGCCTGACCACTCGATCACGTTAGTCGCCTCTTACGACAAGCATAGTCGGATTTTACGGCAAGTATGGGCTGCTGAAGACATACATTTTTCTACCCCGGATCTTCACTATCATAACCATCAATCACAATTGTTACAATGTTCGAATGAGATACTCGTGAATTGGAATTAAAATTACAGTGATGGGTTGTGTTTGAACACATTTATGACATAGTCTCTAGGAAAAACCATCTTATCCAAATAGTGATGCATTTTGCAGTATAACATTTAACATATAAAGGCCGTTTTAAATATGGGAAGTGAACAGAGCATGTGATACACATGTATAGTTGACCTAAAATGTTTATTCATTACATATACACACTCCTTGTCCAAGGAAGGAAATGAAAAGTGGGATTACGTTTCATCTTCCAAATATGTTCCTGATAGCTGTTAAAGTCAGCAGAAGATTGTGTCAGACTAACGCAGCGTGTGTTCATAAGAACGACCGACGACATTTTTTTATGTCTATGACATACTTTTTGAAAATGTTATTTTGGAGAACGGTGGACATGTTGTACTGATCCATATGTCTCTCATACATTATTCTAAAACGATTCGCACAATAAGTGTCGCAAGGCTTATCAAGGTACATTTCCACTGGACGGATTATAATTATCACTTGGTCATGTTGATGCCTTGGATGTTCATACCAATAATCACCGCAATATCAACAACACCGACTTTCTAGTTGTTATGCTATAGGAGATACTAAACTGATGACCTGATGGCTTTGAAAGGTGTCCCACATTGGATCTTTTCAGGCTTGCCTGGGAAGATGAAAGTGGACTGTTTGGTTGCAGTTTCAATATCTGGCCTCTCATTCAGTGAAAGGTTATTTAGATATTTAATTCGTAACCTGCTTCCGGCAGCTGTTACCCGGTAAAGGGGCATCAACCCACAATCTGCAGACAGCTAGGCAGGATTAATGAATTCTATCCCTTTCCATATTCAATAAAATTGACGATCGTACGATTCCAACGATATCATGAGCATGTGTTTATAAAGCACTATCAAATAGTGATGATGCTAGATGTTCATGAAAAGGTGAGCGTATCCTGCCCCACCAGTGACACCCGTTGCAAGCACCTAAAAAGGCGAGTCATTTGATCATGGATGTGATGTTTGCTTGATAAAACCCCATACATAGAGTGATCCTGCCTACAGGTTTTTCTGTCAGGCAATGAAAGGGTTAGGTTTTATCAAATTTCCCTATACTTAGTTTTCTCGCATGATATCTGTACGTGATATATGATTTATCATTTGCGTTATGTGTAAACACCAAGAGTCAACAATGTGCACAATATTTTCATTTTCTAAGTCTGTTGGCATGACGCTGTCCGAGCAGAGAGAGAGAGAGAGAGAGAGAGAGAGAGATTCTTTATCCATTGGTAGAATGGAAAGCATTATATACTGGTATATGACCCTTGATATGAGCATATTTACAGTAATTGCATGTATATGATAACAACTTGTTGGCACTCAGCCTGCTGTTGTTTCACTTCTGTTATGTAACTCTTACTAATTATTGACTAGTTGATGCATTCAGTATTGTACGAAAGTGTGATCGAAGTTCGTCATGGTGTAATGTGTGGCCCACTCAAACACTCGAAACAGATTACATCATGAGCTGATGTACTTTATGTGTGTCAAGTCACAACAAAGGGTTTTACTGATGTACTTTATGTGTGTCAAGTCACAACAAAGGGTGTTACTGATGTACTTTATGTGTGTCAAGTTACAATAAAGGGTGTTACTGATGTACTTTATGTGTGTCAAGTCACAACAAAGGGTGTTACTGATGTACTTTATGTGTGTCAAGTTACAACAAAGGGTGTTACTGATGTACTTTATGTGTGTCAAGTTATAACAAAGGGTTTTACTGATGTACTTTATGTGTGTCAAGTTACAACAAAGGGTTTTACTGATGTACTGTATGCGTGTCAAGTTACAACAAAGGATTTTACTGATGTACTGTATGCGTGTCAAGTTACAACAAAGGATTTTACTGATGTACGGTATTCGTGTCAAGTTACAACAAATGGTTTTACTGATGTACTTTATGTGTGTCAATTTACAAAAAAGGGTTTTACCGATGTACTGTATGTGTGTCAAGTTACAACAAGAGTCATCAGAAAGATGACATATCCCCCCGGGAGCTGTCTGTAAAGTAACCCTTTCCATAAAAAAATGTAAAAAATAACAATTCGTAAAAGAAAATTATCAAAAGGCACCACTTCAGTATGTGCCTGATAGCTTTGCGAAGTTTCGATCAAATACACTGAATGGTTTTGGAATTCTGCCCGGAAACGAACCCCATCCCCAATTGAGTCTATGTCCAACTTCATTCCATAAAAATGTAAACATTAAAAAAATCCCAAAATATCAAAAGACACCACTTCACTACGTGCCTGGTAGAATTGCCAAGTTTCGATCAAATACACCGAATGGTTTTGGAATTCTGCCCCGGAAACGAACCCCATGCCCAATTGAGTCTATGTCCAACTTCATTCCATAAAAAAAATAAAAAAATAAAAATTAGAAAAATCCCAAAATATCAAAAGGCACCACTTCAGTATGTGCCTGATAGATTTGCCAAGTTTCGATCAAATACACTGAATGGTTTTGGAATTCTGCTCCGGAAAAGGAAATGATTACGGACGGACAGACGGAGAGACAGACAGACGGACAGACGGACGGACGGACGGACAGACAGACTGGCTGATCGCTCTATCCCCCCGCATTATATGATTATATGCCGGGGGGATAACAAAGGCTTTTTACCGATGTACTGTTTGTATGTCGAGCGTGTCAATTATTTGTGAAAAGTATTTCCACAGTCTTGACATGACAGAAAAGTGCTTTGTCCACAAAAGAAAATGTGCTGCACATGTATACAATGCACAAAAGGTGGGGCATATTTTGTTTTGTGGTGAAGCGACAGAAAAATACACAAATGCCAGGCAATTAAAGTAAGTGATTTATGCGAAGCTCCAAACAATATTGTGACAGTACGTGCAAGGGGTTGTATGCCCGAGTTACCATTGTCACTCAGAATCGGTTGTGAGCAGACGCATATTGTTTTCTTGAAACCTAATGCTCGAAGACACTTTATTTAGCACATTTAATCATTAATTAAGCAATTGCATTGTTCGTGCGACGTTTGCAACGTGCTGATTGTTAACGTGGCATAGCTATGGGCTCTTGTGGCTGTCAGAATGTTGTTGCCCAAACGATGCATGTTTCTCCATCTGTCCTAAGCAGATCGTGGGCCCGATACCAACAAACACATAACGCCGATGGTCGGGGCTCTGGACGCCCAAGGGCAACGGCCCCAGCTCAGGACAGGTGAGTCAGAACAATGGCATCGAGAAATCGGTAAGATAAGGGACCGGTTACAACAGGCAATATGAGTACATGCTCAGATAGTGCGAAATTGTCTGCATTTATGGCACTTGCGTGCATGACGTCCACGTGTCACCTAATAACTTTCTGCACATCATTTGAATAAGAGACGTCATTATTCTAGGGAAGGTAATCGCTGCAGTAATCGGTTTTAGGTAATGGCATGTTTCTGACGAATCGAGGTTCACTCTAGACTTCCATAACCTAAGGAATTGAGCTTGGAGACTTCCTAATGAGTTTTTCATGGACGGTGACGTCAAACTGCATGATCGGTCCGGGGTAGGGTCGGTATCACAGTGACTGGCCGAACTGCACTCCATATTGGCCATGCAAGAGTCACAGGTCAAAAACATTCGGGACAATATCATTGCAGCACTCAGGAGCCATTTGCACGTCGACCTGCGTTTCATTTTTCAAGATGGTAATGCACATGCTCACGTTGCACATTGCAAAACATCCATGGAGTGCCACTGCCAGCACTGTCCTAACCTTTCCCCAACAGAGGACGTCCGACGTCTAAATTCACCCATCAGTATTATTGAAACGGTGCTGCTCTCACTGATGGGTGGAACAACACGAGCCCAGCTGACATTGATCGACTTCACAGAAGCATGAAGAATTCGTGCATGTCTGGCCAACAGAGGTGGTTTAACTGATATCAGTGATCATGACGTTGGCTACAAAATGCAAATTAGTGCGTCACCATCTCATCATCCTTACCATAAACACTCATTACATCTTATCATCTACTCCCAATCGGATATGATTATATCATTTCCCCCGCCGTGATATTGCTGGAATATTGCTAAAAGTGGCGTAAAACCAAACTCAGTCACACTATATCATTTCCATTTCCTATTACCATATAGATCAATCAGAAGATATGTTTGATCATTCCTACTGTCTTCTTGGTATGGTATACATTAAACATACAAGACATGAAATATTTGTGAAAATTGTATCTGATGTTAACTTCTGTTTTATTCTTATGTTCCGAGAGCATTGCAATGTCTATATAACAAAGACAGAAAGCTTTTTCATTTTTTTGTCATCTAGATGTTTACTACGTCAGTTTACAAGGACACGTCCAAGGTCTTCACATCAGGAGACTATCGTGTCCATCTGATCACTTTTCCTGAAAAAGATAAAACAAATAACATCTTCAAGTACCATGATGTGTAAGACAAATTTTCCTCTCAGATATAACGACAGAGTTTATTGGAAGATATGTTAAAACGCCTCGCAAATATAGTGTGACAACTATCAAAAGACATTTGATGGAAACAAAGAGATAGACCAGTGTGCGTCAATTCATGGAATTACAGATCTATTTAGATATAATACTATTAACGAAATATGAGTACAGAACGGAAATATGTGTTTGTTTGGTTGGTTTACTTTGTATTTCTGGTGTCTGTTCCACGTTTATTCCCTTGGACTTTCCAACTGAAAGATAAAGTAAATTGTTCGAATAAAAGGTTGGAGAAAGGCAGAACTATTTTTAGCATGACAAATGTCAGACCTCACAAATTCAGGGCAAACACATTCTTCTGAAACCTGACACCCATCTGTATCATTTTAGACCACGAGAAATCTATTTATCATTATCCGACTCAACTTCAGTTTCAACCTAACTCACAAACTATCTTCCTTTATTAACTTATTTCCATCCCTAGTGTTAGCAGACTGTGCTTGTAGACCTTTGCGGCTTGGATTTGGCCGAAATATGTTCGAATTGGTACCTTGTTTTGTTTTGTCACTCTGCACTTCTCAACGTTATCGCAGGACAGGAGGACTGTCATCAACGTCTGAACATTGCCCTGACGTCTCATAGATTAGGGTTAGAGTAGCGTCCCTATGACGAAGGGCAGTTACTCTGGCGGACAGAACGATTGATTGCCGCGAAACGCAAGTAAAAACAATTGTTGTTTTGCGTATGTGTTGTTTCGCTACTGTATAAGAAACTGGTTTCTGTTGGAACTATTTTGGCTACTATTACTGTCCGACTGACACATCACTTACCCTGTGACGTAATAAATATTATTGCGCTCATTCCAGGAAAACTTGCAATGTTTCGGTAATGTTTGTGAGAGATGGAAAGAGATTGTCAAGCACATAATAATTGAAGAATGACATTATATGCTAAAGAGGTTATCACGCTTGTGTATTTATGGATGGTAAATATCCTGTATTGGGAATAAACACCATGTATTTAGCTCGCCAAGGCTCACTAAATACAATGATATTTCCTAATACAGGATATTTACCATCCCAAAACACACCTGCGTGATAACCTCTATATATTTCCAGTGCACCTCAGTGATTATGGTTTCAGTGAAAGGTGGAGAGATACAAATCAGGAATGGTTCCTGTTTTTCTGTCACTACATACGTTGGATCTCAATGATCTGCTTGAAGAAAGGTTCTTCATATCCATTTGCTTTTAGGTCCCCAGGTGCTGAAAGAAAATAATGAAGAAGTCTTTAAATGTTCTGGTAAAATTCTACTAAACGTACAGTATGTATATAAGTATACAAAAATGAGTTAAATATTGAGTGAGGCACGTTTTATTAACGTGTGCATTTTGTTGTAATATATTTAAGAAATCTTCCACCATGATATATAATGTTTTAAAAGTATGGTTAGAAAGGACAAAGCTATATCTGTAATCACATGATACATCATTTTTCCTTTCAAAATATATTGATATGTACGGATGTCTGATTAATGCTTGGGATGGGCATTTTAAAATGTTACTATCTCCAGAAACATTACCTACTGGCATGGACGAAATTAAAACAACAACAATTAATTCACATGTTTGGAAGTGTCACAGGCCTACAGTTCGTGTAAAGAGACAGTGTACATATATAATCTCATTATATAACATAGATTTTATTTATATTGTAACCTATGAATGTTTATTGAATGAATCTGTTTTCATTTGAACCAAATTGTTTAAAATGTAATTTCAAATAACAAATGTTTTCTTCATATAAGTATGTTATATGTTAGTAGTTATGTAAGTACTGGAGCTAGTCTAATTGTTGTTGTTTTCATACTGCTCAAGTAATCTAGCTTGAGACAGAAACAGGCTAAAACAGAAACGAGACAATTAAAAGACTTTACTAAAATATTTACAAAATAGCAATAAAATCAACTCGGCCACATATATCCGAGAATCAAACAAGCAGCATTGACATCTGTAGCCTAGATAAAACACACTGCTTGTAATAATGTCTTTTTCAAGTTACTTTACACCAGCAGCAAATATGTTACGCCCATTTCCTGAGGTTCAAAGAAAGTATGTTTGAAACATCAAATATGTTGCGTTTCTTTGATCGGGTAATAAGGGGAATAAAGCACTTACCCTCGAGTTTTTATGAGATTTAATACCCTCATCATTGGGATAAAATCTCGGGACTGACGCCTCACGGTTTTATCCCTTGGATTCAGATTGTAAAGTTCATAAACAACCCTGACGATTTTTTTATTCTACACAAATACAATTCGTTGACAGTTAGAACAAAGAAAGTTTAATATCAACTTGTGCATCACGATATGTTACTAAATCAACTAAATACTAGCATATATCAACAAAATCGCTCAATTAAAGTAATATAGCTTGCCAAGAAAATATACTTTTCTGAATTTCTATTTACATTTGAAAACCATGTGTGAAACTTTATACATAGTCCGTTATCAGTCTGATTTATAAAAATAACGTTTTTTTTTCATGGGATAATCATAATTGAACAAAATCGCTTTCTTTTGTACCAAACATCTAAGAGTTACATTGTACAGGTGTTTTTACCCAAGGCTATTTAAGATGTGTACGATCAAATATAGAATGAGTTTATACTATTCTTGAATACCTTCTGAAAACCTGCGATCGATGTTAGAAATTGCCTACTCATCTGATGGAAATAAATTCCTCAGAAAATAAACTAAAAAATGAACAGTGTGACTGAATGTTTGTTTTACACAAATGTTCATTAGAAAATAGCTGATCATTAAACATATATCTTCATATGACTTCAAGGCCCGATTCGTATCCTCATGGATTTGATGGGCAGGAGCTGGCAGGCACACTCGATACTGACTGTAAATAGCCGTGGCCTTGGACTACTGACAGGTCATATCAACATCAGAGACAACTGTTAACTGTTGTCATATCTGAACACCCAGCTGCTTTCATTTCATCCTCAGAATGAATCCCTTAGACGTCACAAAAAGTGCATTTGCGTTTCTGTTAAGCTGTGTATGTGATTGACATGTACCTAGCACCACCGCCATAACACTTGCCATACGTACTCCTGGTAAGGTAAAGGCAAATATACATAGTCTCTTTTGAAAATTTGTTTTTTCATTGTCCTTTTTTAAGGATGCATGTAGTCATGTTTCTTTTCTCTTATGAAATTTACTTTGACCAATTCTCGATGAAAAAAATGGAATATTCTTTTAAATTTTAATCCCATTTCGTAAAGTTTACATCTTTGCATTTACAAAATTGAATTCACCTTTTAAGAATGTTTCAGTATTTAACATATACATACTTTTGTCTTCCTGTGTTTCCTCCAAATCTTCAAAACATGGTTTCTCGAAATCTGAAAGAAAGTCCTGATAATTAATTAGTGTCTCAGTTAAACATTAATTACGGAAAATGAATTTCATATTGTGTTAGTTTGCGACATAATATGAAAGTCATTTCTTATAAATTCGTATTTTGAAGTTTAAGGGATACAATTTTACTATGACAATTTACGCTAGCTGTAGAAGTTACATTGGAATGAAGTGACCCAGTTGCGTGTATATATTTCACACTGACGCAAAGCAAAGTAGTTCCAGTTCATAAATACTACTTATTATTAATCAATGGGACTTAATTGTATCATTTTAACATCAGAAATAACTTCTTTTAACATATATGAGTTGTTAGAGTTTTTTTCCGATTCAATAACTATACATTACAAAGAAACAATGTTGTGCTTGTTCAACTGCAAGAAAAACACTTCGCTCAAACAAATGCCTATTGACAGCCTTCTGCTAGTTTTTTTCACATTGGATGTGATATTTTATATTGAATACGTCATCTATAACAGGAAAAATGTTTTTATTCATGATAAAGCTTTATTAATGTGCCATATCATGCATATATATATATATATATATATATATATATATATATATATATATATATATATATATTTATATACCTTTGAAATGAACATAAAAATAAATGATTGCAAAATGCATATTTGGAACTGAAAACAATGGAATATTGACAGGTCATATCTACATCAGCGACTAGTCTTAACTGGTGTCATATCTGAACACTCAGCTGCTGCTTTCATTTTGTGCATTGAATGAATCCCTAAGATGTCACAAAAAGTGCATTTGAGTTTCTTTTAAGGGGAGTATGGGATTGAAGTGTACGTAGCACCACCGCGATACCAAGGGTCATATGCACTCCCGGACAGGCGAATATACACAGTCTCTTTTGAAAATTAGGTGTTTTTATCGTCCTTGATATATCATACATGAAGCCATGTTTCTTTTCTTTTATGAAATCTACATTTACAAATTATCAATGAACTTTCATAACAAAAACATGAATATTCTTAGAAGCTTTAATATTTTTGTAAATGTTTCGTCTTTGCATTTTGAAATTGAATTTGCCTTTAAGAATGTTTTAGTGTTTAACATATACGCACGATTGTCACCTGGTGATTCATCCAAATCTCCATATTCTGGTCCTTCCATAACTGAAAGACAGTCATGATAATTAAACAGTGTCTCAGCTGAAAATTAATTAAGAACAAGGAATTTCATATTGTGTTAGTTTGCGACATGATATGAAAGTAATTTCTTATAAATCCGTATTTTGAAGTTTAAGGGATACAATTTTACTGTGACAATTTTCGCTAGATTTACCAGTTACATTGAAATGAAGTGACCCAGTTGCTTGTTTATTCTTCACACTGATGCAAAGCAAAGTAGTTCCAGTTCATAAACACTACTTATTACTAACTATCGGACTTAATTGTATCAATTTAACATCAGAAACAACTTCTTTTAATATATATGAGTTGTTAGAGTTATTTTGGATTCAATAACTATACATTACAAAGAAACAATGTTGTGCTTGTTCAGCTGCGAGAAAAACACACCGCTCTAACAAATGCCTATTGACAGCCTTCTGCTTGGATTTTTCACATTGGACATGATATTAGTTATTGAATATGTCATATATAACAGGAAACATGTTTTTCTTCTTGATAAAGCTATATTAATGTGCCAGGTCATGCATATATATATATATATATATATATATATATATATATATATATATATATATACAATGTCTTTGAAATGAATGTAAAATATATGTGATTGCAAAATGCATATTTGGAACTGAACACAATGGAATATTGACAGGTCAAGTCTACATCAGCGACTAGTCTTAACTGGTGTCATATCTGAACACTTAGCTGCTGCTTTCATTTTGTCCATTGAATGAATCCCTAAGATGTCACAAAAAGTGCATTTGCGTTTCTTTTAAGGGGAGTATGGGATTGAAGTGTATGTAGCACCATCGCGATACCAAGGGTCATATGCACTCCCGGACAGGCGAATATACACAGTCTCTTTTGAAAATTAGGTGTTTTTATCGTCCTTGATATAGCATACATGAAGCCATGTTTCTTTTCTTTTATGAAATCTACATTTACAAATTATCAATGAACATTCATAACAAAAACATGAATATTCTTAGAAGCTTTAATCAATTTTTGTAAAGGTTTCGTCTTTGCATTTTGAAATTGAATTTGCTTTTTAAGAATGTTTTAGTGTTTAACATATACGCACGATTGTCACCTGGTGATTCATCCAAATCTCCATATTCTGGTCCTTCCATAACTGAAAGACAGTCATGATAATTAAACAGTGTCTCAGCTGAAAATTAATTAAGAACAAGGAATTTCATATTGTGTTAGTTTGCGACATGATATGAAAGTAATTTCTTATAAATCCGTATTTTGAAGTTTAAGGGATACAATTTTACTGTGACAATTTTCGCTAGATTTACCAGTTACATTGAAATGAAGTGACCCAGTTGCTTGTTTATTCTTCACACTGATGCAAAGCAAAGTAGTTCCAGTTCATAAACACTACTTATTACTAATCAATAGGACTTAATTGTATCAATTTAACATCAGAAATAACTTCTTTTAATATATATGAGTTGTTAGAGTTATTTTGGATTCAATAACTATACATTACAAAGAAACAATGTTGTGCTTGTTCAGCTGCGAGAAAAACACACCGATCTAACAAATGCCTATTGAAAGCCTTCTGCTTGGATTTTTCACATTGGACATGATATGAGTTATTGAATATGTCATATATAACAGGAAACATGTTTTTCTTCTTGATAAAGCTATATTAATGTGCCAGGTCATGCATATATATATATATATATATATATATATATATATATATATATACAATGTCTTTGAAATGAATGTAAAATATATGTGATTGCAAAATGCATATTTGGAACTGAAAACAATGGAATATTGACAGGTCAAGTCTACATCAGCGACTAGTCTTAACTGGTGTCATATCAGAACACTTAGCTGCTGCTTTCATTTTGTCCATTGAATGAATCCCTAAGATGTCACAAAAAGTGCATTTGCGTTTCTTTTAAGGGGAGTATGGGATTGAAGTGTATGTAGCACCATCGCGATACCAAGGGTCATATGCACTCCCGGACAGGCGAATATACACAGTCTCTTTTGAAAATTAGGTGTTTTTATCGTCCTTGATATAGCATACATGAAGCCATGTTTCTTTTCTTTTATGAAATCTACATTTACAAATTATCAATGAACATTCATAAGAAAAACATGAATATTCTTAGAAGCTTTAATCAATTTTTGTAAAGGTTTCGTCTTTGCATTTTGAAATTGAATTTGCTTTTTAAGAATGTTTTAGTGTTTAACATATACGCACGATTGTCACCTGGTGATTCATCCAAATCTCCATATTCTGGTCCTTCCATAACTGAAAGACAGTCATGATAATTAAACAGTGTCTCAGCTGAAAATTAATTAAGAACAACGAATTTCATTTTGTGTTAGTTTGCGACATGACATGAAAGTAATTTCTTATAAATCCGTATTTTGAAGTTTAAGGGATACAATTTTACTGTGACAATTTTCGCTAGATTTACCAGTTACATTGAAATGAAGTGACCCAGTTGCTTGTTTATTCTTCACACTGATGCAAAGCAAAGTAGTTCCAGTTCATAAACACTACTTATTACTAATCAATAGGACTTAATTGTATCAATTTAACATCAGAAATAACTTCTTTTAATATATATGAGTTGTTAGAGTTATTTTGGATTCAATAACTATACATTACAAAGAAACAATGTTGTGCTTGTTCAGCTGCGAGAAAAACACACCCCTCTAACAAATGCCTATTGACAGCCTTCTGCTTGGATTTTTCACATTGGACGTGATATTAGTTATTGAATATGTCATATATAACAGGAAACATGTTTTTCTTCTTGATAAAGCTATATTAATGTGCCAGGTCATGCATATATATATATATATATATATATATATATATATATATATATATATATATATATATATATATATATATATATACAATGTCTTTGAAATGAATGTAAAATATATGTGATTGCAAAATGCATATTTGGAACTGAAAACAATGGAATATTGACAGGTCAAGTCTACATCAGCGACTAGTCTTAACTGGTGTCATATCTGAACACTTAGCTGCTGCTTTCATTTTGTCCATTGAATGAATCCCTAAGATGTCACAAAAAGTGCATTTGCGTTTCTTTTAAGGGGAGTATGGGATTGAAGTGTACGTAGCACCATCGCGATACCAAGGGTCATATGCACTCCCGGACAGGCGAATATACACAGTCTCTTTTGAAAATTAGGTGTTTTTATCGTCCTTGATATAGCATACATGAAGCCATGTTTCTTTTCTTTTATGAAATTTACATTTACAAATTATCAATGAATTTTCATTACAAAAACATGAATATTCTTAGAAGCTTTAATCAATTTTTGTAAAGGTTTCATCTTTGCATTTTAAAATTGAAGTTGCCTTTAAGAATGTTTTAGTGTTTAACATATACGCACGATTGTCACCTGGTGATTCATCCAAATCTCCATATTCTGGTCCTTCCATAACTGAAAGACAGTCATGATAATTAAACAGTGTCTCAGTTGAAAATTAATTAAGAACAACGAATTTCATATTGTGTTAGTTTGCGACATGACATGAAAGTAATTTCTTATAAATCCGTATTTTGAAGTTTAAGGGATACAATTTTACTGTGACAATTTTCGCTAGATTTACCAGTTACATTGAAATGAAGTGACCCAGTTGCTTGTTTATTCTTCACACTGATGCAAAGCAAAGTAGTTCCAGTTCATAAACACTACTTATTACTAATCAATAGGACTTAATTGTATCAATTTAACATCAAAAATAACTTCTTTTAATATATATGAGTTGTTAGAGTTATTTTGGATTCAATAACTATACATTACAAAGAAACAATGTTGTGCTTGTTCAGCTGCGAGAAAAACACACTGCTCTAACAAATGCCTATTGACAGCCTTCTGCTTGGATTTTTCACATTGGACATGATATTAGTTATTGAATATGTCATATATAACAGGAAACATGTTTTTCTTCTTGATAAAGCTATATTAATGTGCCAGGTCATGCATATATATATATATATATATATATATATATATATATATATATATATTTATATATATATATATATATATATATATACAATGTCTTTGAAATGAATGTAAAATATATGTGATTGCAAAATGCATATTTGGAACTGAAAACAATGGAATATTGACAGGTCAAGTCTACATCAGCGACTAGTCTTAACTGGTGTCATATCAGAACACTTAGCTGCTGCTTTCATTTTGTCCATTGAATGAATCCCTAAGATGTCACAAAAAGTGCATTTGCGTTTCTTTTAAGGGGAGTATGGGATTGAAGTGTATGTAGCACCATCGCGATACCAAGGGTCATATGCACTCCCGGGCAGGCCAATATACACAGTCTCTTTTGAAAATTAGGTGTTTTTATCGTCCTTGATATAGCATACATGAAGCCATGTTTCTTTTCTTTTATGAAATCTACATTTACAAATTATCAATGAACATTCATAACAAAAACATGAATATTCTTAGAAGCTTTAATCAATTTTTGTAAAGGTTTCGTCTTTGCATTTTGAAATTGAATTTGCTTTTTAAGAATGTTTTAGTGTTTAACATATACGCACGATTGTCACCTGATGATTCATCCAAATCTCCATATTCTGGTCCTTCCATAACTGAAAGACAGTCATGATAATTAAACAGTGTCTCAGCTGAAAATTAATTAAGAACAAGGAATTTCATATTGTGTTAGTTTGCGACATGATATGAAAGTAATTTCTTATAAATCCGTATTTTGAAGTTTAAGGGATACAATTTTACTGTGACAATTTTCGCTAGATTTACCAGTTACATTGAAATGAAGTGACCCAGTTGCTTGTTTATTCTTCACACTGATGCAAAGCAAAGTAGTTCCAGTTCATAAACACTACTTATTACTAATCAATGGGACTTAATTGTATCAATTGAACATCAGAAATAACTTCTTTTAATATATATGAGTTGTTAGAGTTATTTTGGATTCAATAACTATACATTACAAAGAAACAATGTTGTGCTTGTTCAGCTGCGAGAAAAACACACCCCTCTAACAAATGCCTATTGACAGCCTTCTGCTTGGATTTTTCACATTGGACATGATATTAGTTATTGAATATGTCATATATAACAGGAAACATGTTTTTCTTCTTGATAAAGCTATATTAATGTGCCAGGTCATGCATATATATATATATATATATATATATATATATATATATATATATATATATATATATATATATATATATACAATGTCTTTGAAATGAATGTAAAATATATGTGATTGCAAAATGCATATTTGGAACTGAAAACAATGGAATATTGACAGGTCAAGTCTACATCAGCGACTAGTCTTAACTGGTGTCATATCTGAACACTTAGCTGCTGCTTTCATTTTGTCCATTGAATGAATCCCTAAGATGTCACAAAAAGTGCATTTGCGTTTCTTTTTAAGGGGAGTATGGGATTGAAGTGTACGTAGCACCATCGCGATACCAAGGGTCATATGCACTCCCGGACAGGCCAATATACACAGTCTCTTTTGAAAATTAGGTGTTTTTATCGTCCTTGATATAGCATACATGAAGCCATGTTTCTTTTCTTTTATGAAATTTACATTTACAAATTATCAATGAACTTTCATAACAAAAACATGAATATTCTTAGAAGCTTTAATCAATTTTTGAAAAGGTTTCGTCTTTGCAACACTACTTATTAGTAAATAATGGGACTTAATTGTATCAATTTAACATCAGAAATAACTTCTTTTAATATATATGAGTTGTTAGAGTTATTTTGGATTCAATAACTATACATTACAAAGAAACAATGTTGTGCTTGTTCAACTGCGAGAAAAACACACCGCTCAAACAAATGTCTTTGAAATGAAGGTAAAATATATTACTGCAAAATGCATATTTGGAACTGAAAACAATGGAATATTGACAGGTCATGTCTTCATCAGCGACTAGTCTTAACTGGTGTCATATCTGAACACTTAGTTGCTGCTTTCATTTTGTCCATTGAATGAATCCCTAAGATGTCACAAAAAGTGCATTTGCGTTTCTTTTAAGGGGGGTATGGGATTGAAGTGTATGTAGCACCACCACGATACCAAGGGTCATATGCACTCCCGGACAGGCGAATATAAACTGTCTCTTTTGAAAATTAGGTGTTTTTATCGTCCTTGATATAGCATACATGAAGCCATGTTTCTTTTCTTTTATGAAATCTACATTTACAGATTATCAATGAACTTTCATAACAAAAACATGAAGCTTTAATCAATTTTTGTAAAGATTTCATCTTTGCATTTTAAAATTGAATTTGCCTTTAAGAATGTTTTAGTGTTTAACATATACGCACGATGGTCAGCCTGTGATTCCTCCAAATCAAGAACCTCTGCTCCGTTAAAATCTGAAAGACAGTCATGATAATTAAACAGTGTCTCACCTGAAAATGGGAGTTAAATGGGAGGCCAACTAAACAACTTAAGAAATCATTTCCACAGAATCAACTGGATAAATTAAATGACATTATAAGTGTCACGCTCAATGCGGACTGTTCCTTGCAGGACATTAACTGTTGCGTTCATGCTGCTGCTCGAACATTGGAGGAACTCAATACAGTTTCCAGGGACACTGGACTATTAAAGGGTAATAAACAAATTCATCCATAGAAACAACGGTTCCAAATTAAACTAAATGAAACAAGGAAAGACATATCCTGGATAGAACTTTGCTTGACATTACGTTCCTCAGGGCAATCAATGTCTAAACGACAAAAATCAATTTGGAAAACTTTAAAATAAAAACAAACAAACAAGACAACAAAAGAGAAGATTCGTAATTCTCTGAAAACGAAGTTAATGGTTTGGACAGAAAGAAAAGGAAAGTGGGACAAGAAATATAATTCTATAAAACAAAACAAATTGTTCAAATCTAATGATAAACAACTTAACAGGGAAACTAAATACATCCAATGGCATTGCTGCGAAAAGACCCACCATGGATTCCAGTGAAAGGTTATGGAAACAGTTGTGGTCTTTACCCGGCAACTGTAACCTTAGAGGAACCATTGGCAGAGGAATATAATGATTATGTACATGAAATAAAATAAAAAAATCACCATCGTTGTGTTTCATTACAACTGATTGCCCAACAGTAATTAAAAAGTCCAAATCCAATTCGGAGACAGAGCCTGATGGAATTCGGAACCTGTTTTGGAAACTGTTCCCTTGTGTCCAAACACCATTACTTCACTGTTTTTTTCTCTTGTAGAAACAGGGGAAGTTCCTCCTTGGTTGTGCAAAGGTCGAAGAATACTTCTCCCAAAGAAAGGTGATTTGACTGATCCAAAAATCTTCTACCCTATTACTTGTCTGAATACACAATACAAACTATTTTCAGGGTGTCTTATTTGTCTCTTGTTGATCAACTACTAGTTCAAAAAATTATCCTTGAAGAGGCTAAAACTTACCACCGTAACCTCTCAATTAGTTAGATATACTACAGAAAAGCTAAAGATTCTGTACCTAACGAATGGATTTTGAGGTCCTTGGAATGTATTGACCTCCCCGAGCGACTACTTGTTTTACTCAAGTCTTTAATGAACTGCTTGTCAATTCAACTTGAGATGTATTCGCAGGGGCAGGTGAGGACGTCGGACCCCATTTCTATTAGAAGAGGAATATTTCAGGGAGATTCGTTTAACCCTTTGCTTTTTTCTGTTTGTCACTAAATCCTACAAGCGTTTTGCTCAACAAAGAGGAAGGTTATCATCCGGAACCTCCTCAACACAGATCCACTGCATCCAGTTTGTGTAGTGTGTTGAGAAGGTCCTTCGCTTGGATGAGGTTGTCTGGCCTGAAACGCGAAACAGAAGGCTTTCTGTTTGCTGCTCAGGACCAGTCACGTCCCACTCAAAACTGTCAGTGTACGATTTTGCATCAAAATGTAAATGTGAAATGTAGATTATGTAATGAATTTAATGAGACTGGCCAACACATTGCCAGTGGATGCCTCGCTTTCGCACAAACACATTATCCTGACTGACATGATGGAGTGGCTCGATCATTTTTTGATGAATCCAATGATTTGTATCTTTGAATTTCATGTCCCTTTTGACACTAATGTGATTGACAAGATTCAGGAAAAAATTGGCAAATATGCGGACCTCGCTTTCGAGCTATTTTAATTTGTAAATAATAAAATATAAATAAAATCCTTTCCATATCTATTAGAAATCTCTGTCCCAGCAGTGGCACCCTTCACAAACACATCACAAGCAAGTCAATAGCAATCTTGGGAGAAAGAGCATGCTCGATTGTATCTCAAAAGTTGCGAAATGTGAACACCAAAGCTGGATCCACTGGAATATTTTGCTCGACATGAAGGGAAGTTGACAATTGAAAGTCATCCCTCTCGTCATACAGTCATGTGGACAGTGTTTTGGCACTCTGAATGTAAGTAACATTATTATTAAACGTTATTTTCTAACACACTTTGAGAACGTAAAACAATTAGTTTTACATTTTCCCAGAAAAATATCCTGATCACGACACAAGAATTATGTCTTCTATCATACAAATGTAACCATATTGATGACAATACGAGAGCAGACCAATAATGTGTAAAGGCGTTAACTTGCTTACTTCATGGTAATTTATAAAAGGCATGTTTCACTTAAGAGATTAACGTTATGTGATTTCAGATTCCTGGAAAATAAAGTTAGCAGATTGTTTTAAACATTCAATGAACCCCGCAAATCTGAAAATAACTTAATGTGTATTCAATATTGTAAAATTACACACATTGATTCCAATTTTCTGTCTCTCGACGGGTGGTGTTAACGATAAGAGAAACCAATCAAATACATTTGGTACCACTATCCGATAAATATGCATATCAAGACATAACTGGGGACTACTTTCAACTGCATTGCCTTTATGCAGTGCCCGATTGGGCAATAGCCTACTTCCGTACGTTTCTAATACGTTTAGTTAGGGGTTTACGTACTGCTGTGTGTTTCTCGAGACAAACATGGATGGAAATCATTTCCCACAATTTGATAATGTTGCATTTAACTCAGTCATTGATTTCATACGTGGTTTCTAAAACTACCCTTTTGAGCAAAACGTCGATTTTAGAATTACATGAAATGGTAGGTGATCATTACTCTCGTGTGTTTCCACAATGTAAATATCATATAGGAATAAAACAATATTTAATATTACACAATTCCCAATATAATAAATGTAGGTTAAAACGTGTACCAGACAAGGTTGGCAACCTTATTCCAAAACTATCAGGTTTTAAACAGGATATCGTGTAGTTGTTCTGGCAAATATTGTTACTTTCCTTCAGGAACACGATCGTAGTGGTGGCATAATTTTGCAGCAGGAAGTCCATGATGACTCCTCAATTATGGAGCTGCCAATCCATGATCTGACGCTAACAAAAAACTATGACATTGCTTAATCACTTAGTTTCGTTTGTCAAAGACCGTATCAGTGGTGTAGTGGATATAGGGTCTGCCCTGAAAGCAGAAATCAGGTGGTTCGATCCCCTGGCTGCATTAAAACAAAAGGCGTGGAAAGATGGTACATGTATGTGTACGTGTGGTTACCCTCCGCTCCGCATTATTGGGACAAATCAAGGACGCGTCGGCTCAGTATCATTGTGTCCGAGTGGAGTATATTAAACTGCGGCATGTCACCTCAGATGTCTAACATTATAAGACCCGCATAAGTCTGGACTTGTACAAGCAGCAACACATACGTGCATGACGTCCCTGTTTAAGTGAAATAATCTTGAACGCGACGTAAAAATCTATTTAATATCTCGAGCACAATTATCTTGGATTGGACGTGAAATCTGGAAACGGGTTTCTTTGCATGTCCTTTATTCCAAGGCAGGTGGTTACCGTACCAAGACGTAAAGTTTGACCACACAGAAACTTGGACCAGTAAGCAACCTCTTGTTTTGGGCATCGTAACAGCTTTGTGAAAATTTATATTTGATTTTATATTTATTCTTACCTAATACCAATTCGTTGATCAATCTCCCAACTGAAAAGAAGAAAAAAGGAAACAGTATTACCCAGTAATCAGAAATCTATGATGTTATTAGGGTATACCAATACCTTTCATCAAGTTAAAACTTGAAATCGACCCGTGAAGATCCGGGGTAGAATAGGTCTTCAGCAACCCATGCTTGCCGTAAAAAGCGACTATTCTTGTCGTTAGAGGTGACTAACGGGATCGGGTGGTCAGGCTCGCTGACTTGGTTGATTACGTGGATCATGATGTCTATCACTGGTCCAGACTCGATATATACTGACCGCGGTCATATGGCTGGAATATATCTGAGTGCGGCGTAAAACAACAAACCAAACCAAAACCTAAAACTTGAAATCGGAACACCATAAATTCAAATTGAAAGCATAAAATAACAATGAAAACTGGTGAGTGACTCTTTAAACGTGCTGCAAGTGCCAAGTAACAAATGGCATTAACATCAGCTTCCAAGCTACACACACAAGACACGCACCACGTGCCAAGAAATAAATGGTATTAACACCAGCTCCCAGTGCCACGCAGAAGACACGCACAACGGAAATTCGGCGAGAATCAGTGTTAAACCAAGCCACTAATCCTTAATCTGATATATTTGGGTGGAGTAGAGTTAGTTTCACTTTCAACAAATTAAGCTCATACATGAAAACTGTGTAATAATTAAATCTCGGAAGCAGTGAAAGAATGTTCTTCGCAAATCAAAATCTTGCTTGCATTGGAAATTGGACTTGTATCGTGTTTTAATAATTGTTATGATTTCCATAATTTCTAGTCACGTATCGTATCGTGGCGAAGTGTATTATTACACCTTCATGCTGTGTTATTTTGTTTGTTGTTTAACGCCGTATTCAGCAACATTCCAAATCTATAAAGGGGGCCCATAAATGATGGAATATGGAACAAACGATGTAGTATTTGATAGTATGCGAAACAATCCACGGATCAGATCAATGTATCGCCTCCTAGACCATTCTAACTATTAGTTTACACAATTACTTTGTGGCATTTCCTGGCAGTGTTTAGAAAAACGTTGGTTACAAAACAAAAGAAGAAGTATTTGCCACTCTTTCCCGCCAGTTCGTACTCACTGTCATAGTCATCTCTGAGTGACAATCCTCCAGCTTTGAGAACTGAAATACGAAAAAGAACAATTACACACTCCTTATGGTTACATCAATAAAATAATATTATGAAAGAAATGAAATGAAACCTTCACAACATTTGCTACAATCGTCAATGAACATATTGTGTGTATACTTCTATGTAAAATATGAACATGTCTATAATAACTAGTTGAGTATCGTCATTATGTCTGAAAGTACATACCATTTCTGAGCTTTTCAAGAGTAAAGCCTTTACACACTGAAAGAAAAACATAAGCTCATTACACGTTATTATTCGCTGTCATTACTTTCAATGCAGGTTTGTGGTCACCCAAGATTCTGTATTTAGAAGTGCCATGTGTAACCTGAAATTGTTATCTGAACTTGAGGCTGAAAGTGTGGAGGTAAGCCTATAAGTATGCGTATTTGGTGAAAAGTTGAAAGTGTTACCTTGAGATATAATTGATATTGAACTGATGTAGCCATTGGAGATACATAAATATATTACACAGAGGCTCATCCTAAACAAATTCTATATCTGTTTTGTTTTATACCCACTTTTCATTTGTTGATCCAATGGTAATTCAAAAAGATCTGAAACAATAAAATCAAAAAAGTTAACTTCACCAAAGTATTTTCCTGTTCTCAATGTCAACGTAATGAGCGTGAAAATGTGTTGACCAGAGCATTAGGTTTGTTCGTTTGTTGTTTATCACCACACTGGGCAGTATTTCAGTAATATGATGGCAGTCTGTAAATAATCGAATGTGGATCAGGCAAATCCGGTGATTGATATCATGACATTCGATACGATTGGGATACTATGACATTCACTAACAAAGTCAGCAAGGCTGATGACCTGATCCGGTTCGTCGCGACTTTCGACAAGCATGGGTTGCTGAAGACGCGGAAGACCCAGAGCATTAAGAAGCAGCTATGACGGTATGCAAAATTAAAAACATATCATGACACGTATATATATTTACGTGATAAGATATCTTTTATCAGATATATATTTTACTGTATTTATTTAGGGTCACTTTCGTAATTATAATTACTATATCACAGCAGCTTGTAACCTAGGGAATCTCGGCCAAACAAATTAATTGTAATTACCATAAACAAATTACAGAAAGTATAGGGAGCTAGCATGCTGGGTCACCAGTCACACTTGGTAACCAGACCATCTTTCTACAAGCCTGCGTACTGGGGCCTGTTCTATCCCAGAATCCACATAAGGATGATAACATTGAATAACGCGACCCCCCCCCCCCCCCTCTCTCTCTCTCCCCCCTCCCCCCCCCCCCCCCCCCCCCCCCTTCACTACCATTGTGGAATATACCTTGCAAACTGCTCCCCTTATTCAATAAGTACTTACCGTCAAAGAGCTTGTAGTTTTCTTTCTGATCTGAAAGAATTATAAAGTGAAATTCTTACCGAATAGTTCATACTTTTGGATACTTACTAATTGCAGATGATATTTGTTTTATTGCTAATTTTGTCACCAGTATGAAAGATTGACATTCTCGCCAAAAATGGGCTATAACTATCGAGTTTGATAAAACGGAAGTGATGATTTTAAGAAATGGCGATAAGTTATGGAAGCATGAAGCCTGGTATGATGGAGATAGACGGTTAATAATTTTACCATATAAGATTATTTGAGCTTGCCCTTTCCAAACATATTTTATTGGTCAAAAGCAGCTCAACATATTGTTCAAAGGGCAATTGAGGTAATTGTCTTAAAACAAAATAATTGCAACCAGACTTCTGAATATATCTCCGGATAATTTCATGTGATGTTTTGCAAATATGGATTGGGTGCACGTTATAAATGTACAAATATTGCCGTTTTAGCTAAAATTGGCAGCAAATATATGTTTATTTGATTAATCGAAATGAGTAACTATTGTTAAATACCTAGATAAGCTTTTGGAGCTCCCGGAGGATAGATATCCAAACATGTTATGTAATTTATATCAACTTGGCAGGAACATGTTGGTTTATAATGTTAAAGATGTTCTGTTTAATTATGGGTTGGATTTGGGGAACGAGGGAGTTGGTAATAAAACAGCTTTTCTAAAGGAAATTTACTCAAAGATAAACGATTGTCACGTGCATTCTGCCTTCTGAGACATTCAAAGTTGTCTTTCTCTTTATAAGTATTCCTCTTGTACTGAGGCTTATCTGTTTAATGGGAAAAGTCATGGTACAAAATCTCCATATTACGACTTGGTTAGTTACCTTAACATAAACACACTGGAAGATGGGAAGGAGTACCCAGACGAAGTCGGTTTTGTGTAACATGTAGCAATGATATTGTTAAAAATGATTTCAGTATATCACGACTGCATTATAAATACTTTAAATGTACATCAATATTTATTTTTTTATTGCATCGTAAGAGTTAGAATCTATGATAAACACTTTCTTGTTTAGCCACTTCATGTATAGTTAATTTCACTTTGTTCGTGGATCTAAGGCCTTATACGAAATAGATTGATTGTCTGACTGACGAATAATCTACATACCTTACAACCACTTCACGTTACAACCACTTCACGTTACAACCACTTCACGTTACAACCACCACACGATACAACCACTTACAACCACTTACAACCACTTACAACCACTTCACGTTACAACCACTTACAACCACTTCACGTTACAACAACTTCACGTTACAACAACTTCACGTTATTACCACTTACAACCACTTCACGATACAACCACTTCACGTTACAACCACTTCACATTACAACCACTTCACGTTACAACCACTTACAACCACTTCACGTTACAACCACTTCACGTTACAACCACTTCACGTTACAACCCCTTCACGTTACAACCACTTCACGTTACAACCACTTCACGTTACAACCACTTACAACCACTTCACGTTACAACCACTTCACGTAACAACCACTTCACGTTACAACTACTTCACGTTACAACCACTACACGATACAACCACTTACAACCACTTCACGTTACAACCACTTCACGTTACAACCACTTCACGTTACAACCACATCACGTTACAACCACTTACAACCACTTCACGTTACAACCACTTCACGTTACAACCACTTCACGTTACAACCACATCACGTTACAACCACTTACAACCACTTCACGTTACAACCACTTCACGTTACAACCACTTCACGTAACAACCACTTCACGTAAAAACCACTTCACGTTACAACCACTTCACGTTACAACCACTCCACGTTACAACCACTTCACGTTACGAAACACTTTGACTGATTTTATGATGGCAAACCAGTTCAGGAAATTTAGAGCTGGAATTCTAATCACGATTTAGTGATATGATTACACAACTACTTCGCAACCGTCTGTGTACTTTTGTTAAAATATAACTTTTATTTGCCTTTGATGCAATCTTTGCCGCTTGAATGAATGTCCAAACGGATGCCTTATACTCATAACTACTCATTGCAACCATGTAACGTGCCTTTTATGATAATATGTGTGAACTTACCAAGAAGAGTCTTCTTTATTTCTTCAGGATGTTTTCCCAGAAAACCTGCAATATTAAAGGATAATGTTTCACATGATCGTTGGTGAGAATCATATATATATTTTTTAATGGGATAGTTTCACATCATGTCAGACCTGTGCACTGTTCTCCATTCTCCTGTTATAAAGATATTTATGTTGCAGATAAAACAGATGACATCCATAGCATGTCGACTTGCTGAATGGGTTATACTGTTGGGAGTTTTGACAAGGCGTCCGACCTCAAGAAGGTCCATGTTTCGAATCCTGTTATTTGACAAGGCGTCCGACCTCAAGAAGGTCCACGTTTCGAATCCTGTTATTTGACTTCGCAATCGTGTGGCTGCCACATTACGTAACATATTACAAAAGCACACATACTACTGCATATTCGCAACAGCTAATGTTATATGTTGTACCACCACCTACACATGCCAAACATATAAAGGACGCCACTGACATAGCTGCAGGGAAATATGTTCACTAACAAAGTGCCTGTGAACATTGTGAATCATGAGATAGCGTAGAAGTATTGTGATCAAAATCGACGATTCTGGTGCAGTGGTCCGTCTAACGAAGTAAGCTTTTAACTTCGTCAACTAAGCCTGTACATGCCCAAATATATTCAAAAAAAGTTTGATACAAATTTATTAGATAAATTTGGGAAAATACTGGTAAACGTTAATAAATATATTTTGGTATGGGCTTGTGAAACACAACTTAAAACACATGACCACATTGTCTAAGGGATCCTAACGACCATTGCTCTTAGTATAAGTACTTACTGAAATTATCCTTGGGAATAGGCATGCCCTCATAGACTGAAAGAGAAAAACACAGTTTGTATACACAATCGTGTGATATTATAATCATCAGAAACAAAGAAGTTATTTTTATTCCTCCGCCCACCATCCATCCGTCTGACTATGTTGTAGAATTAAGACACCTCAAGTGTAAAAGACAGCTTTTATTTAAATAGCCTAATAGTTTCCATATGTTTTCAGTTTTAATCACAACGCCAAGTTTCGTCACGATATGGCCGAAATATTGCCGATGTGACGTTAAACTTTAACTCACTCACTCACAACGCCAAGTCACCTCCAACAAGAATATTTAAGGGTCTCTCAGGAGTAGATCGTTGGCCTGGTGTCGAAAGCGATCGCTCGTCACACTGAAGGCCAGGAATTGATTCCCAACATGGATTCACCCATTTCTGTGTTTTACCCCTCGTGATATTATTGGCATTCAAACTGACCAAACCGTTCTTGGAAGAGGGTGATTATAACAGTAAAACCACATATCATGAAAAAAATAATCTTTGGTTGAAGACGTTCTCACAGCGACAGCGAGATTTTCCGACGTTTAAAAGAAGAAAGGGTTGCTTAAGTTATAAGATTATACCCAATAATGTTTTAACTAATTTCAATCCATCAGAATCTGCATTTTTCTCTTGGGTGCAAACATCCCCTACTATACATGTTCCTTTCTACACTACATGTTTTAGATGAGTAATTCAGTGAATGTGTGTAAGCAAAGCAATAAAAACACCTTCCATGTCCAGTAGAAATCGTATATCAGTGAGTGAGTGAGTGGTTTTAACACCGCTTTCAACAGTATTGCAGTTATATCACGGCGTGTCAGCTTAATGTGGGAGGAAAGCCCGAAGTGATGCAGGTCTCAGACGTTTACTACCTCGGTGAAACCCACGAGCACGGGTATGGTGCTGACAAACCTAGAAACATAATCGGAGTGAACCGGGATTCGAACCCACAATCATAGGTTTCTGGTGTGCCCAAGGGACGCAACTCTGCACAGCGAATCCCGGCGCCTTAGACGACTGGGCCACCCGTGCCCCCTAGTCAACTAAGAGCAAGGCCACATCCAGCAATAGTCAACTATGACGGCTATAGCCAAAAAACACCAGCAATCGATTCAGGGTTTTCCTTCCAATTTAGACGATATTTTCAAATAACAATGTTGTGTGTCCACGGGAAAATTCATACATCAGAGATGAACGTGTTCTTTTTCCAACATTTCAAATGACTAACTTATAACACTTACGTTGTAGAATGCTCGTCTTGTTGAAATAGTGATTAACTGAAACAGGTCAACAAATGCTATCAAGAATACAATGACATTGAATCATTTAGGCACTGGAATTAGTTAACCTGGTTCAGATATAATTATTCATACACTTTGTTTTTATTCAACATGATAACGTGATTTATAGTGTAAATTAGAACATGGGAAATTACCAATCAGTGAATTGTGACGTTAGTATATATAAAACTATTGACCTTTTTTCACACTTCGCTACTTCCGAATTGAAAGCGAGGCTTTGAGTGCTGAAGGTGAAGGCTGGATAGCACATGATACATATCGCGATGTAAACGCAATCGGGACAAACTGGGACAATATGACCATTTCGTTAATGTCACGGCAAACTTTATCGTAAATATTGATCATCATTCTTATTCCTTTCATTTACAAACTATTCTACTGTTAGACTGAAAGACATTGAGCAAGTGAGTGACCGTTATGTTTTTATTTCAATTTCAAATAGCCATGACCACCTGGTAACTACCAGTGCAGTTTATATATAGTAGCTGCACAACGACTTAGTACAAATCCTACACGCATGTGTAAAGCATCATTCATTAGACACCATTCACCCAAACTGTGTATTTATTTGGTTTAGTCAAAGTATGAGTTTGAATAATTTGAATTCAACTGGGTCTTTGACCAGAAGAAAATATTAACATTATCTCGAAAGATATCAGAAACTAACTAAATTGATATGTTGATCTAATTTATCTTATTGTAACCTATTGAGAATTTACAGTCATAAACTAATCAGAATTGTGTATCAGTTGTGAATTTGATGTAAAACTCAAATACATTCCAATATATATGTGTGTTGCTGTGATTGTGAACAGTAGTTGTTTTAATTGTCAATGTTGACAGACTAGATAACATGAGGTGTAACATTTCTACTGAATTATTACATGAAGGGTGTTGAAATATTTAAACTAAACAGTTTGACTGTTATAATTTTACCAAAATGATATTTATTTTTCTGTACCAAAATAATCATGTCATAAAATAATAAAAAAACAACTAATCAATGGCCAGTATAAGTTTAATCTGCATGTGAACTTTATAGTGTTGGTTGGTTGGTTGGTTGTTTAACGCCGCACTCAGCAATATTCCAGCTATTTGATGGCGGTCCGTAAGTAATCGATTCTGGACCAGACAATCCAGTGATTAATATCATGAGCATCAATCCATGCAAATGGGATAGATGGCATGCATCAACCAGGTCAGCGGGGCTGACCACCCGACCCCGTTAGTCGCCTTTTATGACAAGCTGAGTCACCTTTAACGGCAAGCATGGGTTGCTGAAGACCTATTCTACCCCGGCATTTTCATGGGTCTTTTTATGTAATGCACAGAAACATAACTATTTTACAGTCTATTTCAAATTCATTAACAAAGATTGAGATTACTATGAACAGAATTTCTTTTGAATGTTGTTTAATGCCCTTGGGTACTACAATCACAATTCATTTCGTCTCTTTGTTTGTTAAATTATGAATTCGATCTGGTTTTATGTACACAAACATAATTTGAAACTTTTAAAACAAAATATTTTCTTTTACGCAAGCAAATGCCTTGTAATATGTTATTACTAATTTATTGAAATAACAATTCTTTTGATAAGATTGGTGTTGAGAAAAATCATGAAACCCGAATATGATTCGACTGTGAATATATATTTGGATTTATATTTACTTTATAAACAGAGGACTTTGATATTTTTGTTTGGTCATGAGTTTAGGCCAGACACGCGTACTAGTACATTTGGAAATCTGTTTCTTACTCTTATCATGGTAGCTGCCAAATTTATTTTTAATATTCCACAATAACTATGTTATTTTCTTTAGTTGATTTGATGTATGAATAGTTTAGTACCTAATGGTTTCGTGATCAGTGGCAAAGAAAGAATATACAAAAGTTTGTAAGAAGACTAGTAAAATTTATTCTTGTCACTCTGAACTGAATTTTTAAAAATCTACAGACCCAGATTTCTACCTATATTTATTTTAGTTATCTATGAACATGGTTTCAATTGTCATTCTGAAATCAAACAAATACTTAATTATTGTCCTGCTACGACTAATAGCAACAGCCAATATATATTTGCTTTCAATTTGATGTCATAAATGACACATTCTGAATATTTATTTTGACACACAAGTTAGTTTGTAAACTATTTTCATTGACAATGTACATCGTTGTATGTTTGGATGAAAATCATAGCAGAAAAGGTGTCTCATGTCAACGTAACTCTTGGCAAAACGATAGTGCGTGGTGCAGTCAACCCACTAGGCCCCTATAACTCGTGAAATAAACATGACGATCTCGAGGTCGCCAAGCCACTCGCTGGCTGAGCAAATAAGCACAATACACGTTTCATGTTATGCAGTTGATTTTCCAGTGTATTACAGGCATATTTTAATTGGACACCAGCATTAAATGTACAATATCTTCTGTATCAGACACAGAGACCATTTTGAAATGTCCTTCAGTGAAACACGGTCACACCTGCTCTCTATTCCCGATCAGCTGATGCGCCTAACTCTGCATAGATCTGGGCTCTCATAGCCTCGTTTTCGATCCAAGATGGCGCAAGTGTGAAATGGGTCAATTGGAATGTTGTGCGAGTATCTCACATTCTTTTTGTTGGCGTGTACTTACGTTCCACTCGTTCTTTGCCTGTTAACGTTTGCAGAACTAAAATGATAACATGAGCGTCTCTTTAAACAGATCTACACCTGTGCACGGATTATAAAATCACCATCGAAACTGCGAAGTATACTTTGAAGTAAAGACGAAACATTACATTTAGGGTCACCGACACATGATAGAGACCGTTACTTGAACAAGGACTAATTACACTTTGGGGACATAAATCAGTTCACCACAGCAACTGCTGATACCAAATAGTGGAGTAATGCTTGCACGTAAACATATTAGCTGACATACAGACATAAATCTTGTAAATGAAAGGAAAGTATATGCAGGATCAGTTCAACTTCTGATATAATATTTAAATAAATTAATCCAATATTGTACTTCAGCCTTTTTGTCACTTTCGTAAAAGTCCTATGAACACTTAGCATGGTAAATCCTTGTTATTGTTACATGCTTACATTCGTCTAGTTTTCCAGCCATTTCTTCTGAAAGAAGGGAAAATATAAACATGTAAATGTTATCCCAAACATACGTGTATAATATGGTCACACATTGTGGTTTGCGAGATTGGTGTATAAACATGATGGCACATCATGTGTGTTTGTGTGTTTGTTGCTTAGAGTCGTACCAGTGATTGACATCATGAGCATTTCTCACAGCATTTGTGATACGATGACATGTATCAACCTCGTTTGCGAGCCTGACCACCCAATTCCGTTTGTCGCCTCTAAGAACAAGCATGGTCCCCACTTGTAGAACGCATGGGATACTGAAGACATATTCTCTACCCGGATCATGACGGGTCCAGTATAATGTGTGAGGTGAACTCAACATGACCACCGAGCTTGGTAATACATGGTGAGAAACTAGGTACCATGATAAGAGCAACTCTGCCATTCTACACTCGGTCAGCAGATCTCTATGCGATTAAGGGGAATAACTCTACACATTCATATATGCTCCAGTTAGATTGTTGATGGTCGTACCATTTATATTATGACAAGTCATTCACTCACACACTCTATGCCAGGGTGTCGTTGTACAAAACAACCTTCACGTTACGACTGTCGTAAGTCTATGTTAAAGTTAGGGAGTTACGATCACCTTAGCGTTACGGTCGCTTTGTACAACGTCATCCAGGTGATCTGCACTATTACAGCGTTCCTTTACATTTACATATGTTGGGGTACGCGTGGTTCAGGCGCCTAAGATATGTTCATGGTTGATTCCCTTTGATGTGCCATGAGCAGATCGTTGGTTAAAATCCCAGTTTAGCACTGATATAATTGGCTTGATAGCACCATACACACCCTCTTGGGGTTTAGCAAAGTTGTGAAGCTTTGTATTACCTCGGAGTTTCATCTCGAAATAATTAAATTTTCGCTACGTGGATTGATACAGTTTGCACGTCGGTTTTTCGATTCATACCTCAATGAACCGAAAAATATACACAGTCTATCCTTAAATAAACGGACATGTGATCGTATGACTGGAATACCGTTTAAAGTAGCCTCAAAACCAACTCACTCGCCCATTACTCTTGTCAGCTCTTTCTACAGTATGCCAGTTAACAAACGTCACCTGTTACTGAAAGAATCTATTTCATATTTTCACATTCCCAGTAAGATCACTCACAAATATATATATAAGCACATTATATTATTGTTGTGGCTTTAAATTCGTTGACGATTGTCGGTATTCTCCTTTATCAAAGTTACAAAACGCTTTCCATAATCAAAAGAAATCTCTTCGCACTCAATGAAGTCTACACGTTTCCTTTCTTGAACTGTATTAATTTTTTTACGCCATTAATGTCATTTTCAACTCCATTGTGCAACTTATCTATTGTCTTACAGACAGTTTATAATAAAGCTTAATGTGTTGACTCTTACATACTCTCGAGTTTTGTATCAAATTGCAAATTTATTGTAATAACAATCCTTTTGATAAGATTGGTGTTGAGAAAAATCACGAAACCCGAATATGATTATACATACCATCATTAAGGAGCACCTCTATTCCATAGGATTCAGCTGAAACAATTTACATTCATAGGTTGTAACTCAAATAAATTCATATCTTCTGAGGTAACTATAACAAGTTCAGTTCATCTGATGTTACTGAAACAGATTTGGTTCATCGGATGTAACTAAAACAGATTTGGTTCATCGAATGTATCTCACAAATGTTAAATTCATTAATTCAAGTTTATTCCATTGGATTTAACTGAAACTAGTCATGTGACTCAAATAAGTAAAATACATACTTATCGAGGTATTGTCTGAAGTTGTATATCAGATTGTTGCTGCAATTTTATCAAAGGAAATTCAGTGCCGAGCATTGGGCAACACGTGCAAGAAGTCTAGTTTTTTTTATAAACATGCATTACATTGCTCAGTATATACGTGCAATAATGTGTTATGGATTAAACTATTTAAAAAACCCATCAACAATTGTAAAGTGATATCTGACGGTACACACCTCTTCCTCTATCCTCGACAGGTAACCTTTGGCAATCTGTTATACGCAAAACATGTATTACCATTATTGCCTTGATATGAACTGAATATAAATATATATAAAAATAAAAATATAAAAAGGATATATGAATATAAAAAGTGACTGTTTTCTCCTCAGCAAATATTGAATCGTTTGGGGTTAATTACTTTAAGTTGTCTGTATTCATCATTTATATAGTTTCACATGTTGAAAGCAAATCCTCATTTCCTTTCACGACGATATTTCATTTTAACGTTTGACCTGCATGACAGTTCCTCCGAAAACGTAAATTTAACAGCTATTTGTATATGGGCTCGATACTTCGTGGCATCATTAGACAGGAAACATATTCCCTTTATAACTAATTTGAAGATTTCAAAAGATATTGCGTATATTACGTTTGTAAAAGATGCTAAAGAGACCAATAGGGGATATTTAGACAGGTTTGAATAGTTGGTCCTATCAGCAGCACCTTCTTTGTTGATACTTACATTCCACGATGCGTCTGGGTGGCATCAGCTCACAAACTGGAAAACAAAAGCAAAGAATGATTTTTTTGAATAAGTACATCGTCATACAAACACTGATAACATAAAGGTATGTGCAACATATATCCGAGTGTGCTTTCGTATTGTACAAATATATTTCGAATTTAAATTAAAATTATCAACGTCAAACTTTCATTCCGTAAAGTAACTTTTGAAATGGTGTCAACAGCCCCATGTTTCTTTTCATGTTGTGCCAAATGAGCTGCAGCGATGTTTATTTGCATTCACACATAGAGATAGCTCTATCAAAGTTTTTTGATGTGTAAATCAATAACTTGTCAAGCACGTAGGCATCACATCGATGAATAAAGCTTACTAGTTTCTTGTCATTGTGTGATAACACTAAGTGTTGAATAAGAACTATTTGTTTCATAGTACTGAGGTTCTGTATCATCATAAAGCGTGACTCGTGTCCACCAACGTTCAATGAAATAGTACATACGCTTCTTGCGATCCTCCAATGGAAGTTGTTCAAGAACTGCAACATGCAACCAAACTCAATATTAGATCGGGACCTGTTGACCTTTTTTTTCTCAATCAAAGCTATCTATTAGCGTCGCTGCTGTAGAAGTTTGTAAAAGTTCATTACAATATAATGTGTTTAGTTGTAAAACGTTAAATGTGTACTATTTCTACAGATCACACATCGATCCATTGCACAATTATATTCTGAGAACGATCTCTTTTCAACTCTATCCCTCCTCGTTGTGTGCTTTGACTACAAGTCTACATCAAAACCATATAGTGGGCGAGAAAATGTTAAAACGATCTTTCGATGATAATGGCAGCGACGATGAAGACCATAGATATGTCAAATGATCTGATGTCCGTGTTCGCTCTACGTCTTGAGGTAGTAATTGGTTGTATTATAGTACTAATCAACTGCTGGTTTGATATGTACAAACAAAGCAGATGTTCTATGACAGTGAGTGTGGTCCCTGCAACATAGTGTTCACGCATATTGCTGTCTAACTCAGGGCACTGCAGAGGGTGTATTTCGTGTAAATACCTCTGTTTATACAGTAAACTACGGCCATGTGTTGCATAAATGCTGTATATATGCTTATAACGAACTACGGTTATTACGAACTTAAATGGGTGGTCCTTTGAGTTCGTTATAACCGTAGTTTACTGTATGCCCTTTGATGCAATTAGACCTCTGACTCCCAAGCAATTTCATAATGACATATAACGGTACGACGTTCCACTGTCGAATATGGGGTGGCTCCATACACGCGGGGCCCAAGTTGTTTGCATTGCATGTGTTGGTTGTCGTAGCATGAACAAAGGCTCAACTGTGTATTTGTACATTGCAGTGGGTGCAGTAATTCATTTGACATATTGTGAGACACTGAAAATGCATAATCACATAATGTGAGGGGTGGGTCGGGGTGGTGTGCTCTAGTCCATCTCCAAACAAGTAGGAATGTAGGTATTTACCTTTAAACATATCCTCGACATCTATATCAAGGAGAACTGTAAAGACGAAAGACACATGTCACATGTTTTACAACAGCGAAATGCATAATCATAGCAGTTTCTCTCATTTCAACTATATATATTATATTGATTTCACGCAGACACTGTCTGTAGTTTCTGATATTTTATGCATGTCATGATTAGACGATTGTGTCCCAAAGCAAATACAAGTGTTACATTTGAAGGATAAAGTGGTAGGTTTTTTATAAATGTATATATACAAATATAAAATAAATATCGAGTATACTGCCTGAACGTACCTTTAACAAAGTTGTCAGTGGGAACAGCCTCCTTGACTAAACAAACAAACAAACAATCACATTCCCCTTAAAATATTGTGTCATTATAATGATGGTCGGCATTTTCACAGCATTAAATACGTGTTTCTGTTCTTATTCAGTCGAAGAAACCAAGCATGATATACATTCACAGATTGTTAATGGCTTTACAGGGCATGTCAACATCTGGCTGACCGGGCATGTCAGCATTGGGTTTACTGGGCATGACAAGATACGGTTTACAGGGCATTGGGTTTACAGGGTATGTCAAGATACGGTTTACAGGGCATTGGGTTTACTGGGCATGTCAATATACGGTTTACAGGGCATTGGGTTTACAGGGTATGTCAACATTGGGTTTACTGGTCATGTCAACATTGGGTTTACTGGTCATGTCAACATTGGGTTTACTGGTCATGTCAACATTGGGTTTACTGGTCATGTCAACATAGGGTTTGCTGGGCATGTCAACATTGGATTTACTGGGCATGTCAACATCTGGCTGATAGGGTAAGACAGCATAGGGTTTACTGGTCATGTCAACATTGGATTTACAAGTCATGTCAACGTTGGGTTTTACAGGGCATTTCAACATTGGGTTTACTGGGCATGTTAACATTGAGTTTACTGGGCATGTCGACAGAGGGTTTACAGGGCATGTCAACATACGGTTTACTGGGCATGTCAACATAAGGTTTATAGGGCATATCAACATAGGTTTACAGGGCATGTCAACATTGGATTTACAAGTCATGTCAACGTTGGGTTTTACAGGGCATGTCAACATTGGGTTTACTGGGCATGTTAACATTGGGTTTGCTGGGCATGTCGACAGAGGGTTTACAGGGCATGTCAACATACGGTTTACTGGGCATGTCAACATAAGGTTTATAGGGCATATCAACATAGGTTTACAGGGCATGTCAACATTGGATTTACAAGTCATGTCAACGTTGGGTTTTACAGGGCATGTCAACATTGGGTTTACTGGGCATGTTAACATTGGGTTTGCTGGGCATGTCGACAGAGGGTTTACAGGGCATGTCAATATACGGTTTACTGGGCATGTCACCATAAGGTTTATAGGGCATATCAACATAGGTTTACAGGGCATGTCAACATAGGGTTTACTGGTCATGTCAACATTGGGTTTACTGGGCATGTCAACATGGGGTTTAGAGGGCATGTTGACATAGGGTTTACTGGGCATGTCGACAGAGGGTTTACTGGGCATGTCAACATACGGTTTACTGGGCATGTCAACAAATGGTTTATAGGGCATATCAACATAGGTTTACAGGGCATGTCAACATAGGGTTTACTGGTCATGTCAACATTGGGTTTACAGGGAATGTCAACATGGGGTTAATAGGGCATGTTGACATAGGGTTTACAGGGCATGTCAACATAGGGCTTAGAGGGCATGTCAACTTACGGTTTACTTGGCATGTCAACATAGGGTTCACTGGGAATGTGGACAGAGGGTTTACAGGGCATGTCAACGTACGGTCTACTGGGCATGTCAACATAGGGTTTACAGGGCATGTCAACATACGGTTTACTGGGCATGTTGAGATAGGGTTTACAGGGCATGTCAACATAGGTCTTACAGGACAAGTCGATATAGGGTTTACTTGGCATGTCGACAGGGGCTTTACAGTGTATATCAACATAGGTCTTACAGGACATGTCGATATAGGGTTTACTTGGCATGTCAACATTGGATTTACAAGTCATGTCAACGTTGGGTTTTACAGGGCATGTCAACATTTGGTTTACTGGGCATGTTAACATTGGGTTTATTTGGCATGTCGACAGAGGGTTTACAGGGCATGTCAACATACGGTTTACTGGGCATGTCAACATAAGGTTTATAGGGCATATCAACATAGGTTTACAGGGCATGTCAACATAGGGTTTACTGGTCATGTCAACATTCGGTTTACAGGGCATGTCAACATGGGATTTAGAGGGCATGTTGACATAGGGTTTACTGGGCATGTCGACAGAGGGTTTACAGGGCATGTAAACATACGGTTTACTTGGCATGTCAACATAGGGTTTATAGGGCATATCAACATAGGTTTACAGGGCATGTCAACATAGGGTTTACTGGTCATGTCAACACTGGGTTTACAGGGAATGTCAACATGGGGTTAATAGGGCATGTTGACATAGGGTTTACAGGGCATGTCAACATAGGGCTTAGAGGGCATGTCAACATACGGTTTACTTGGCATGTCAACATAGGGTTCACTGGGAATGTGGACAGAGGGTTTACAGGGCATATCAACGCACGGTCTACTGGGCATGTCAACATAGGGTTTACAGGGCATGTCAACATACGGTTTACTGGGCATGTTGAGATAGGGTTTACAGGGCATGTCAACATAGGTCTTACAGGACAAGTCGATATAGGGTTTACTTGGCATGTCGACAGGGGCTTTACAGTGTATATCAACATAGGTCTTACAGGACATGTCGATATAGGGTTTACAAGGCATGTCAACATGGGGTTTAGAGGGCATGTTGACACAGGGTTTACAGGGCATGTCAACATAGGGTTCACTGGGCATGTCAACATAGGGTTTACAGGGCATGTCAACGTACGGTTTACTGGGCATGTCAACATAGGGTTTACAGGGCATGTTGACATAGGGTTTACTTGGCATGTCAACATAGTGCTCAGAGGGCATGTCAACATACGGTTTACTGGGCATGTTGACATAGGGTTTACAGGGCATGTTGACATAGGGTTTACTGGGCATGTTGAGATAGGGTTTACAGGGCATGTCAACATAGGTCTTACAGGACAAGTCGATATAGGGTTTACTTGGCATGTCGACAGGGGCTTTACAGTGTATATCAACATAGGTCTTACAGGACATGTCGATATAGGGTTTACTGGGCATGTCAACATGGGGTTTAGAGGGCATGTTGACACAGGGTTTACTTGGCATTCCAACATAGAGTTCACTGGGCATGTCAACAGAGGTTTTACAGGGCATGTTGACATAGGGTTTACTAGGCATGTCTGCATAGGGTTTACAGGGCATGTCAACATACGGTTTACTAGGCATGTTGACATAGGGTTTACTGGGCATGTCAACATGGGGTTAAGAGGGCATGTTGACATAGGGTTTACATGGCATGTCAACATAGGGCTTAGAGGGCATGTCAACGTACGGTTTACTTGGCATGTCAACATAGGGTTCACTGGGAATGTCGACAGAGGGTTTACAGGGCATGTCAACGTACGGTTTACTGGGCATGTCAACATTGGGTTTACAGGGCATGTCAACATAGGGTTTATTTGCATGTCAACATAGGTTTTACAGGGCATGTCAACATACGGTTTACTGGGCATGTTGAGATAGGGTTTACAGGGCATGTCAACATAGGTCTTACAGGACAAGTCGATATAGGGTTTACTTGGCATGTCGACAGGGGCTTTAGAGGGCATGTTGACATAGGGTTTACTGGGCATGTTGACATGGCTTTACTTGGCATGTCAACATAGGGTTCACTGGGCATGTCAACAGAGGGTTTACAGGGCATGTCAACGTACGGTTTACTGGGCATGTCAACATAGGGTTACAGGGCATGCTGACATAGGGTTTACTTGGCATGTCAACATAGTGCTTAGAGGGCATGTCAACATACGGTTTACTGGGCAAGTTGACAGAGGTTTTACAGGGCATGTCAACGTACGGTTTACTGGGCATGTCAACTTAGGGTTTACAGGGCATGTCAACATTGGGTTTACTGGGCATGTCGACAGAGGCTTTACAGTGTATATCAACATAGGTCTTACAGGACATGTTGATACAGGGTTTACTTGGCATGTCAACTAAGTGTTTACTTGGCATGTCAACATGGGGTTTACAGGGCATGTCAACATAGGGTTTACAGGGCATGTTGACATAGGGTTTACAGGGCATGTCAACATACGGTTTACTGGGCATGTTGACGTAGGGTTTACTGGGTATGTCAACATAGGGTTTACAGGGCATGTTGACATAGGGTTTACTGGGCATGGCAACAAAGGGTTTACAGGGCATGTCAACATAGGGTGTACAGGACATGTGATCATACAGTTTACTGGGCATGTTGACGTAGGGTTTACTGGGTATGTTAACATAGGGTTTACAGGGCATGTCAACATACGGTTTACAGGGCATGTTGACATAGGGTTTACTGGGCATGTCAACATGGGGTTAAGAGGGCATGTTGACATAGGGTTTACATGGCATGTCAACATAGGGCTTAGAGGGCATGTCAACATAGGGTTTACTTGGTATGACAACATAGGGTTTACAGGGCATGTCAACATACGGTTTACTAGGCATGTTGAGATAGGGTTTACAGGGCATGTCAACATAGGTCTTACAGGACAAGTCGATATAGGGTTTACTTGGCTTGTCGACAGGGGCTTTAGAGGGCATGTTGACATAGGGTTTACAGGGCATGTCAACATAGGGCTTAGAGGGCATGTCAACATACGGTTTACTGGGCATGTTGACATTGGGTTTACTTGGCATGTCAACATAGGGTTCACTGGGCATGTCAACAGAGGGTTTATAGGGCATGTCAACGTACGGTGTACTGGGCATGTCAACATAGGGTTACAGGGCATGCTGACATAGGGTTTACTTGGCATGTCAACATAGTGCTTAGAGGGCATGTCAACATACGGTTTACTTGGCATGTTGACAGAGGTTTTACAGGGCATGTCAACGTACGGTTTACTGGGCATGTCAACTTAGGGTTTACTGGGCATGTCAACATTGGGTTTACTGGGCATGTCGACAGAGGCTTTACAGTGTATATCAACATAGGTCTTACAGGACATGTTGATACAGGGTTTACTTGGCATGTCAACATAGGGTTCACTGGGAATGTCGACAGAGGGTTTACAGGGCATGTCAACGTACGGTTTACTGGGCATGTCAACATGGGGTTTACAGGGCATGTCAACATAGGGTTTACTTGGCATGTCAACATAGGGTTTACAGGGCATGTCAACATACGGTCTACTGGACATGTCAACATGGGGTTTACAGGGCATGTCAAGATAGGGTTAAGAGGGCATGTTGACATAGGGTTTACAGGGCATGTCAACATACGGTTTACTGGACATGTTGACGTAGGGTTTACTGGGTATGTCAACATAGGGTTTACAGGGCATGTTGACATAGGGTTTACTGGGCATGTCAACAAAGGGTTTACAGGGCATGTCAACATAGGGTCTACAGGACATGTGATCATACGGTTTACTGGGCATGTTGACGTAGGGTTTACTGGGTATGTCAACATAGGGTTTACTGGGTAAGTCTACATAGGGTTTACTGGGCATGTCAACATACGGTTTACAGGGCATGTTGACATAGGGTTTACTGGGCATGTCAACATAGGGTTTGCAGGGCATGTCAACATTGGGATTACAGGGCATTTCAACATAGGATGTACTGGGCATGTCAACATAGGATTTACTGAGAATGTCTACATAGGATTTACTGGGCATGTCAACATAGGGTTTCAGGGCATGTCAACATAGGGTTTACTGGGCAGACAACGTAGGGTTTACTGGGCATGTCATATCCACATGGTTGATCCACAAATTCTCTTTGTTATATGTATCACTTCTAAACGCCTTTCAAAGACACTATACTGTATGAATACGTTAGGCAATTTGGCGTTAGTTAATCTGGTAATAATATGATTTCATACAGACTTAAGGTTAACATATAATGAAAAACATTATTTTCCTAAAGTCACAGATTCTTCGTGAACATTGTGTTCTTTATCGACACAAAGACATATCTTACTCCTTTATTTGGTTACTTACTTTTTGTTTGAAGATTTTTCTTTATATCATCGATCCCTGAAACAATCTCATGTAATGTAATCACAGTTCGGAATTTCCTAGCAAGTGACACGCCATAATGTGTGAAAACTGACATAATGATATGTTGAAATATTCATCGACCTAATTATACACGTCTGATAGCTATTTGGTTTCAATAATTCTTGACACCGGACTATTACTTCCTATCTTGGAATAATATTGATTCTCTAATTTTATGGCAATGTCCACACGGGGATCGAAATAATGCATTTATGATCGCTATCAAGCACGTGAACATGATTAAAACCCCCGATAGGTGAAGAAAATGGCGTTTCTCCTTTCACGTCTTTCGGTTAGACTCATTCAGGATATGGAACAACAGACCTCCGGTTTATGCCAACGCTCTATCCACTAGACAACGGATACGGTTTGTTATGAACTGTTGACATATTACCTTCGATTTAATTGTCATTGTGTCCTCAGCACTGGGAATGGAATTGCCAAAGTTCGTGATAATATTGCATATTCAAAAAGTGACTATTGAAATCTTATTTTCAGGTCGTATTTTCACATGATAATGTGAACGTATTATGATTTCAAAAGTCTGACGTGTACTACATGAGTTTTTCTGTGACATGCTTCCGAGACAGTAAAACAGATTTTCCCTTCCAAATTTTAAGTTATTTTTCAAATCACAACAATCCTAATTACTATGTGTGCGGAAAGTTTCTAAATTGGTCGATTGTATCTGCATGAGCAAGGTTAGCATAATTATATCGAGATAGTACATTTGCATGTTGATTCATTCTTATAAATGAAGATAGATGTCCTATTTCTTAATTACAGTTACTTCACATAAATATTAAGCATACATATAAAAAACATGGATGCACATCTTCTTTTGCAACGTAAAGTAAAGAAATTACCATACTATATAGAACTTGATGTGTTTAATGAAGCAGAATTGGAATCTGGAATATGCGGTGAAGTGATAAAACCGATAACAAATGCTCACATGGGAACTTGCTCACAAATTAAATACTGCATTTTACAAAAAATCTTGGCCAGGTTTGCATAACACAAACGTTCTGATCACATATGCATCCTTTAATATGAGATAAAAATGTATGGATCGCCTGTGCTGAGAAGAAGCTATTTCCTTTTGATTACAAATGATCCCCTAAAATTAAAATGTGAACTGAAATCCTAATATCGTGCAAATATATCATATATGAGATACATTTTTAAATTGATTACTTTTGCATGATGTATGTTGCTTCTTCTAGGCTAAAAAGAATTCAAAATTCTTAACATACGTTTTGCGTTGGCATCTGCAGCTACGGTTCCGAAAACTGAAACGAAAATAAATATATATATTATATTTGTACCTTCGAATGAAAGCATTTCTTCTTGATGTTATTATTGCGTAATGCTTGCATAAACCACTTTTGTGTATTATTAGGGTTACATCATTTTAGGCCTAAGGTAAATTTTCAAAACATTTCCAAATCTGACGCATCTGTGACCAAAATTATGTCCGATGCAATGTGTATACTATTCTACATTATAACATGCCTGTGAAGAGATCCCCGTTTGATAAACATGCTGCATTGCACTCAACATGCCCCTGTCTTATTCAACGACATTGCGTGTGGAGATGATAGATCACTGAGAGGAGCTTATGCACACTCGATGCACACTCGACGAACAACCCTGTTGCTAGGCTGACGTCATATGGCATTGTTTCGAAGGTGGATCTTGCAACAAAATTCCACAAATTACGTTATATGATATTGCGACGAATTTGTAAACTTTGTGGCACAGTGATCGTACTGTAGCGCAACGATAGTCGTAATTTTCTGTTAAAGTATGGAAGTTACAATAACCTTAGCGCTACGATAACTTTGTGGAACGGAAGCATGAATTCAAAGGGTGGGCCGCTGTATGGTATTAAATTAATACTTTTCGATTCTGCTGTGAATTGTGTCGGTGTCTGATAATTCACACACGACAGAGTGAGTGAGCTTTTAACAGTATTCCAGTTATAACGCGGCGTGTCAGCTTAATGTTGGAGGAAAGCAAGAAAGTGATGCAGGTCTCAGATGTTTACCATTTTGGTGAAACCCACGAGCACGGGTATGGTGCTGACAAACCTAGAAACATAATCGGGGCGAAACGGGATACGAACCCACAATCATAGGTTTCTGGCGTGCCCAAGGGACGCAACTGTGCACAGCGAATCCCGGCGCCTTAGACGACTGGGCCACCCGTGCCCCCGAACCCAGAACAGAGAAATTCTAAAAAAGGTTATAAATGGCAAGTAATAAATATAATACGAAACTCGCTCTCGTGTTATACCAATTTTATGAAACTCGTGAATAGTTCTTTAACCTGAATCGCTTTAGCTAGTCAGATACCAGAGAAACCGTGAAGATCCGGGGTAGAACAGATCTTCACCAACCCATGCTTGCCGCAAATGGCGATTATGCTTGTCGTTAAGAGGCGACTAACGGGATAGGGTGGTAAGGTTGTCTTGGTTGAAGCATGTCATCGTATCCCGATTGCGAGGATCGATGCACATGATATCAATCACTGGATTGTTTAGTCCGGACTCGATTATTTACAGACCGCCGTCATATAGCTGGCATATTGCTGAGTGCGGCTAAAACAACAAACACACACAAGATACCAGAGCTATTCACGAGTTTTATAAAATTGGTATTAAACGGGATTTCGCTTTGCATTCTATTGATATCATGATCGATCTGTCCACGAGTTTGTGAGTTCTAGGTAGAATTGTAGACCAATTCATAAATATTGTACAATGATTTGTTCAAATCCGCGAGACGCCATTACCTGCTTAAAATCATGTACAAGCACTTTTGTTAAATATCTGGTTTTTTTTGCGACTTAGTCTCTACGTGGAATGGAAAACATCAAATCAGATAACAGATATGTAGACTGAAATAACGATTCTGATTTCTGACATAGCTCATTTATATATTGCGTTTGCGAACATCTGACTGTGCTACCTTTTTCCGCAAAATAAAACCGCGGACATCACTAAGCCCTGTCTGCTATTCAAATCAATCTTATATTTGCAATTATTTGTACACCATCAGATTGGATAAATATAATTAAGGCCACACGTTAGTTCATAAATCTATATAAATCTATCATAAATACAATCTCCAACATAAATTTAATACTATCCCCAACATAGATAAAATACAATCTCCAACACACGTGAAATACATTCCCCAACAAACATAAAATACAATCTCCAACATACATATACTTTATATATTCATGAAAATTAAATGTACATATTCAAACTATTATTTTCAATTGCAAACCGAATCGGAATCTGTGCTTTTCACTCATATGTAGATACAATTTTTACAACCTCATCATTATAACTACCATAAAAAATGCGTATTTATACTGACTAGTATCCATCAATGAAAACATCTAAAAGACACAAATAAAATACAGATGCTTATATATCTTATGTCCATTGCATTCTCCAAAACGGAAAAAATGTCGGAGCTGATAACTTTTGAAATGAAACAAAATATTAGATGTAACTTACCCAACATTAAGAGGACCAGTGACTTCATGACGATCAGAATCATGACTATCGATACAAGGACTGTTCAGTTTGCTTAAATAACCACAAGCTACCAATAAATATTCAATATTCCCTTTTAAACGTATTAATTACATTAAAGTTAATAAACTGTCCGAATATTTAAATTTAGTTTTGAGCTCTGAATAGAAAATTTAATATCAATTGCTATTGCCATCATTATTAGTATATTCAGCTTCAAGTTACCGCCCATATCGAATGATAACTCTTTAGTACCACAGAAACATAATTTGCATATTATGAACCTTGAAATAAGAAATATATACATGACCTCGACAGCTGCAGTTCTATTAAGTACACCGGATGGGTATTAAGTAAAGATTTCAGTAAAATATTCGGGCGTGAGTGAACAAGTGTATAATTATGCCTGACAACATTTGCATACACGACTATGTTTGACAAGTTTATTATGCATACTTTCCATTTTAATCCAAAAGGGCGGGGAGTATATGACAAACTTGATTCTTATTCTTGCTAAACGGAATATTTGAAATGCATTCGTTGTAAAAGTTAATTACAAGTGCTGAAATATCGACTTTGTAGGTGTATCAGCGCCCGGGTGTAAAAAAGTAATATTTAGGTGATACGTGATACTCGAGTTGGTATTATATGAATTGTATAAATCACGCATGGGCGACCTCCACATTGTGCTCACAATGAAGCATAGGGTCCCTGAGCATCTTTCACAATACGGTTAAACATCTTAAGTGCTTGGGTTCTTTGAGTGTTGGCAATGTTTGTAGTAAGCTATAGGTATGGACCCTAGTGTCTAATCGTGCGCCTCAATGGTCTAACTAACCGTTTTAATGATTAGGCCCCTCGTGGTCTAACCATTTCAACGATCACGCGCCTCGTGGTCTAACTAATCATTTTAATGATTGTAGTAGGCTATAGCGTATGGACCCTAGTGCGCCTCAATGGTCTAACTAACCGTTTTAATGATTAGGCGCCTCGTGGTCTAACCATTTCAACGATCACGCGCCCCGTGGTCTAACTAACCATTTTAATGATCACGCGCCTCGTGGTCTAACTAACCATTTTAATGATTACGCGCCTCGTGGTCTAACTTACCATTTTAATGATTACGCGCCTCGTGGTCTAACTAATCATTTTAATGATTAGGCGCCTCGTGGTCTAAATAGCCATTTCAACGATTATGCGCCTCGTGGCCTAACCGACCATGTCAACGAATAGGCAACTCGTGGTCTAATTAACCATTTCAACGAGTAGGCACCTCGTGGTCTAACCATTCCAACGATTAGATACCACTTGGTCTTACAAACCATTCCAATGATTACGTGCCTCGTGGTCTAACTAACAGTTTCAGACTTCAGGTTCACTAGACCTGAGCTATACAATCGCGCATGCTCTTTCTTTGTGACTATTGCTCAAAATTTGTTTGATTGCAATATTCAAGGCCCCTGTGAAACGTTCAAAAATATTTATGGTAGACATGTGGAGGACATTCCCAAACTTGCCAAATCAGTGACAAAAATTATGTCCGATGCTTTCCTTATTTGACATATGTTCCCATTTTTGTTCAGGTGGACAGTTGACTTGCCTTTTATGATGGTGCCACCGGTGGGGGTCAGAAAATGATCACCTCTTTGTGAACACAATCATCAATCTTTTGAGAGTGATTCATAAACTCATACTCATGATAAAATCGGAATCGTGAAACCGACGGTGCCTGACAGTGTAGGTCCCCAGCACACCATGCCAGACAGAGGTCCCCAGATCATCATGCCTGACAGTGTAGGTCTCCAGTACACCATGCCAGACAGAGGTCCCCAGCACACCATGTCTGACAGTGTAGGTCTCCAGTACACCATGCCAGACAGAGGTCCCCAGCACACCATGTCTGACAGTGTAGGTCTCCAGTACACCATGCCAGACAGAAGTCTCCAGTACACCATGCCAGACAGAGGTCCTCAGCACACCATGTCTGACAGTGTAGGTCTCCAGTACACCATGCCACACAGAGGTCCCCAGCACATCATGCCAGCCAGAGGTCCCCAGATCATCATGTCTGACAGTGTAGGTCCCCAGTACACCATCCCTAACAGAGGTCCCCAGATCATCATGCCTGACAGTATAGGTCTCCAGTACACCATGCCACACAGAGGTCCCCAGCACATCATGCCAGCCAGAGGTCCCCAGATCATCATGCCTGACAGTGTAGGTCTCCAGTACACCATGCCAGACAGGTCCCCAGCACACCATGCCACACAGAGGTCCCCAGCACACCATGCCAGACAGAGATCCCCAGATCATCATGCCCGACAGCGACGGTCGTAAGTACATCATGCCTGAAATAGTAGGTCCCCAGTACAACATGTCTGACGATGATGGTCCCCAGTACACCATGCCTGACAGTGTAGGTCCCCAGTACACCATGCCTGACAGTGTAGGTCCCCAGTACACCATGCCTGACAGTGTAGGTCCCCAGTACACCATGCCTGACAGTGTAGGTCCCCAGTACACCGTGTCTGACAGTGTAGGTCCCCAGTACACCATATCCGACAGTGTAAGTAACCAGTACACCGTGTCTGACAATGTAGGTCTCCAGTACACCATGCCTAACAGTGTAGGCCCCCAGTACACCTTGTCTGACAGTGTAGGTCCCCAGTACACCATGTCTGACAATGTAGGTCCCCAGTACACCATGCCTGACAATGTAGGTCCCCAGTACATCATGTCTGACAATGTCGGTCCCCAGTACACCATGCCTGACAATGTAGGTCCCCAGTACACCATGCCTAAAACAGTAGGTCCCCAGTACACCGTGTCTGACAGTGTAGGTCCCCAGTACATCGTGCCTAAAAGAGTAGGTCCCGAGTACACCGTGTCTGACAGTGTAGGTCCCCAGTACACCATGCCAGACAGAAGTCTCCAGTACACCATGCCAGACAGAGGTCCTCAGCACACCATGTCTGACAGTGTAGGTCTCCAGTACACCATGCCACACAGAGGTCCCCAGCACATCATGCCAGCCAGAGGTCCCCAGATCATCATGCCTGACAGTGTAGGTCTCCAGTACACCATGCCAGACAGGTCCCCAGCACACCATGCCACACAGAGGTCCCCAGCACACCATGCCACACAGAGGTCCCCAGCACACCATGCCAGACAGAGATCCCCAGATCATCATGCCCGACAGCGACGGTCGTAAGTACATCATGCCTGAAATAGTAGGTCCCCAGTACAACATGTCTGACGATGTTGGTCCCCAGTACACCATGCCTGACAGTGTAGGTCCCCAGTACACCATGCCTGACAGTGTAGGTCCCCAGTACACCATGCCTGACAGTGTAGGTCCCCAGTACACCATGCCTGACAGTGTAGGTCCCCAGTACACCGTGTCTGACAGTGTAGGTCCCCAGTACACCATATCCGACAGTGTAAGTAACCAGTACACCGTGTCTGACAATGTAGGTCTCCAGTACACCATGCCTAACAGTGTAGGCCCCCAGTACACCTTGTCTGACAGTGTAGGTCCCCAGTACACCATGTCTGACAATGTAGGTCCCCAGTACACCATGCCTGACAATGTAGGTCCCCAGTACATCATGTCTGACAATGTAGGTCCCCAGTACACCATGCCTGACAATGTAGGTCCCCAGTACATCATGTCTGACAATGTCGGTCCCCAGTACACCATGCCTGACAATGTAGGTCCCCAGTACACCATGCCTAAAACAGTAGGTCCCCAGTACACCGTGTCTGACAGTGTAGGTCCCCAGTACACCATGCCTAAAAGAGTAGGTCCCCAGTACACCATGTCTGACAGTGTAGGTCCCCAGTACACCGTGTCTGACAGTGTAGGTCCCCAGTACATCGTGCCTAAAAGAGTAGGTCCCCAGTACACCGTGTCTGACAGTGTAGGTCCCCAGTACACCGTGCCTAAAAGAGTAGGTCCCCAGTACACCATGCCTGACAATGTAGGTCCCCAGTACACCATGCCTAAAAGAGTAGGTCCCCAGTACACCATGTCTGACAGTGTAGGTCCCCAGTACATCGTGCCTAAAAGAGTAGGTCCCCAGTACACCGTGTCTGACAGTGTAGGTCCCCAGTACACCGTGTCTGACAGTGTAGGTCCCCAGTACATCGTGCCTAAAAGAGTAGGTCCCCAGTACACCGTGTCTGACAGTGTAGGTCCCCAGTACACCATGCCTAAAAGAGTAGGTCCCCAGTACACCATGCCTGACAATGTAGGTCCCCAGTACACCATGCCTAAAAGAGTAGGTCCCCAGTACACCATGTCTGACAATGTAGGTCCCCAGTACACCATGCCCGACAGTGTAGGTCCCTAGTACACCATTTCCGACAGCATAGGTGCCCAGTTAGCAATGCCTCCTTACAAATTGTCCTGAACCTTGAAAATAGTGATGAAAATATATTTGTGGTGACCACGTTCAGAGACAAAATTTAATGCAGTATGAATCAAGGCCTAGAGCTATTCCTGGAATTTGACGTGTGGGAGAGTTAAAAAAGCAAATCATTGCACCTGGTTCTTGCATATGTGTTTTACAAGAGTGAGTACAGTTTATGAATATTAACTCTCAAACTTATAAATACTTTTAAATACATCATATAAACAAGTTATTACCTTTATTTGGTTAAAAATAAGAAGTTGAAGCAACACCGAAACTTATAGCTTGATGTATTGGCCTTTTCGTGTATAATTCGTATATTTTAGGGAAGATCTTCCACTTTGCCTCTAAGGTTTGATACCTGTGAAGATTCCGGGGTGGAATAGGTCTTCAGCAACCCATGCTTGCCGTAAAAGGTGACTATGCTTGTCGTAAAAGGCGACTAACGGGATCGGGTGGTCAGGCTCGCTGACTTGGTTGATACATGTCATCGATCCCAATTGCGTGGATCCATGCTCATGATGTCAATCACTGGATTGTCTGGTTCAGACTCGATTATTTTACAGACCGCAGTCATATAGCTGGAATATTGCTGAGTGCAGCGTTAAACAACAAACAAACAAACAAACTCTAAGGTTTCAATATTCAAAAGAGATAATGTACATTTCATGTTGATAATAATGGGAGAATTCTTCAAACGAAATGCTCTGTCTGCTGGATGAATGTTAATGAAAGTCTGTAGTCATTCATATGCCGTGTATCTAATGGTAGACACTACAAATGAACCATTGCTGTTGCACTTTGTCAATTAATCGATCGTGTTGCGTATACTTGTGGTCGTCAGTATTCTCTAGAAATACAACACATCCTGTCCAACCGGATATCTAGCAGATTCATTCCTTTAATGACTGATGACTTGCGTCATGTATTTGTGAGGATCGTTTAGCTCATCTGGAATGTTTACAGTGTAGTTCTAGAAACAATACCTAAAGTCACATTACATGTGAAGAAACTTACCCCAAGAATACGTCCATGTTAAAGAGATAAGCAATCTCTCCTTTTTATTTGCATGAGACCCATGCGAAAGGACTTTTATTGTATTGCTAATTGCAATTCAAGCATCCTTCTCATCTACAGGGCTGACCTACTTCGTGATAGGACACGTCTTCGTGAACATGCTTTGAAGAGGACTTTAATTTCAAATTAACTAAACATTATAATATTTTCTGTCACGATTTCTTTTTACATTTTTTGTTTCTTGTTGATGACGCAGTTTCAGATGTTGGTATTGATATTGTTACCCTGCCACACCTTATGACAGATATAACCTTGAGGTAGGAAACCATTGTTCTTGAAGTTCAACAATAAATCGATCTGGCCAATCTAAAGGACATGTGATTTTTGATGACTGTTAGTTAACGCAAACTACACAAAGATTTAATATCAGGTGTACACCAACGTCACATAGCGACCATGTCCTAAAGGCACGTCATCAACTGTCTTATATAATATTCAGAGAAGCATGCATGGCAAACTGAAACGATCTTGCCATTTGTGTGAAGTTATACATTCCAAATAAATCCTGTTTCTCTGCTAAATCAGTTGTTAATATTTATTCCAATCCACTTTATACAAGGCACCAGTGCCAAAACTCAATCACTATTACGTAGTGGCGCACATAATGCCAACTCACATCTTGGCGTTATACTCGTGTGTTTTAAACGCTGCCCTGTTAGGCATGGTGTACTGGAGACCTACATTGTCAGACACGGTGTACTGGTTACTTACACTGTCGGATATGGTGTACTGGGGACCTACACTGTCAGGCACGGTGTACTGGGGACCTACACTGTCAGGCATGGTGTACTGGGGACCTACACTGTCAGGCATGGTGTACTGGGGACCTACACTGTCAGGCATGGTGTACTGGGGACCTACACTGTCAGGCATGGTGTACTGGGGACCAACATCGTCAGACATGGTGTACTGGGGACCTACTATTTCAGGCATGATGTACTTACGACCGTCGCTGTCGGGCATGATGATCTGGGGACCTCTGTCTGGCATGGTGTACTGGGGACCTCTGTGTGGCATGGTGTGCTGGGGACCTCTGTCTGGCATGGTGTACTGGAGACCTATACTGTCAGGCATGATGATCTGGGGACCTCTGTCTGGCATGGTGTACTGGAGACCTACACTGTCAGACATGGTGTGCTGGGGACCTCTGTCTGGCATGGTGTCCTGGGGACCACTGTCAGGCATGGTGTACTTGGAACCTCTGTCAGGCGTGGTGTGCTGGATACCACTGTCAGGGATGGTTTACTGGGAACCTCTGTTAGGGATGGTGTACTGGGGACCTACACTGTCAGACATAGTGTGCTGGGGACCTCTGTCTGGCATGGTGTACTGGTGACCTACACTGTCAGACATGGTGTGCTGGGGACCTCTGTCTGACATGGTGTACTGGAGACCTACACTGTCAGGCATGATGATCTGGGGACCTCTGTCTGGCATGGTGTACTGGAGACCTACACTGTCAGATATGATGATCTGGGGACCTCTGTCTGGCATGGTGTACTGGAGACCTACACTGTCAGATATGATGATCTGGGGACCTCTGTCTGGCATGGTGTGCTGGGGACCTCTGTCTGGCATGGTGTACTGGGGACCTCTGTGTGGCATGGTGTGCTGGGGACCTCTGTCTGGCATGGTGTACTGGAGACCTACACTGTCAGGCATGATGATCTGGGGACCTCTGTCTGACATGGTGTACTGGAGACCTACACTGTCAGACATGATGATCTGGGGACCTCTGTCTGGCATGGTGTACTGGAGACCTACACTGTCAGACATGGTGTGCTGGGGACCTCTGTCTGGCATGGTGTACTGGAGACCTACACCGTCAGACATGGTGTGCTGGGGACCTCTGTCTGACATGGTGTACTGGAGACCTACACTGTCAGGCATGATGATCTCGGGACCTCTGTCTGGCATGGTGTACTGGAGACCTACACTGTCAGACATGGTGTGCTGGGGACCTCTGTCTGGCATGGTGTACTGGAGACCTACACTGTCAGGCATGATGATCTGGGGACCTCTGTCTGACATGGTGTACTGGAGACCTACACTGTCAGACATGGTGTCCTGGGGACCACTGTCAGGCATGGTGTACTTGGAACCTCTGTCAGGCGTGGTGTGCTGGATACCACTGTCAGGGATGGTTTACTGGGAACCTCTGTTAGGGATGGTGTACTGGGGACCTACACTGTCAGACATGGTGTGCTGGGGACCTCTGTCTGGCATGGTGTACTGGAGACCTACACTGTCAGGCATGATGATCTGGGGACCTCTGTCTGGCATGGTGTGCTGGGGACCTACACTGTCAGGCACCGTCGGTTTCACGATTCCGATTTTATCATGAGTATGAGTTTATGATTAACTCTCAAAAGATTGATGATTGTGTTCACAAAGAGGTGATCATATTCTGACCCCCACCGGTGGCACCATCATAAAAGGCAAGTCAACTGTCCACCTGAACAAAAATGGGAACATACGTCAAATAAAGAAAGCATCGGACATAATTTTTGTCACTGATTTGGCAAGTTTGGGAATGTCCTCCTGATGTCTCATGTCTCCAGGTTTTCCCGTTGGCCTGTGAATAATCGAATTCGGACCAGACAATCTAGTGAACGATAATCTCAGCACATCAGTGATAAATAATATGAACAGTTTCTGACGCCGACGGCATAACATGATAGGCAAGTCGCCAAGCCTTACCATTCATCCATAAAGAAAACTG